AGCTTTCTCTCTGGTTGTACTGAAAAGCACATTATTAGCTCTTCACGAGCAGAGTTAAAACATGCCAAATTTGAAATGATTTATTATCAAACATTATCGCGAATTTGTGTGACCTTTTTTTTCAACTGTTCAAATAAATTAATGATAATTAAATCTAATAATGCTTGCAATTAGATGCAATTAGATGCAATTATTTTTCAAATACAAAGTAGAAATAAATTTACATTAATTGAACTGACCTTTTTGTTCAAGGAAATCTGGAATATTCACTTAATCAATGCATCCCGATTCCTGATTATGAAACGCCTACGAATTTGAATTTTCCATCCACGTGGCTGTAGATTCGAATTATAATTATGTTTTCTTTCCTTTTTCTGTCACTATGATTAAATGTTAAAGCACTATTAAAAACTCGTGATTTTGATACATATAATGTACCACAAATGATAATATTATAACGTTAAATGATTGGAACTCGTAAACAGATCTGTGGCTATAAATAAATTTCATAACAATAACACATGTAACTTGCCTATATACAACGCCACCTATATGTTTTATTAGGTTGCAGCGCCGCGCACGTGGTCTTCGAAAGGCACTTGTATATATCTATATACACTTAATTTGTAAGCCAAATAACATTTGAAAAAAGTATAAATGATTATAACAGCGAATAAGGATGACTTTTTGTTAATTTTTTACCTACTGTCAGGACACCGACCAGAACCTGACGTTAGTACGACGTCAAAAAGAAACGTCTAATAGACATCGGTTTTTGGACGTCAGATTTACGTCGTATTTTGGTCGCCGACGTCGTGACCAAAATCTAACGATAATCTGACGTTATTTTAACGTCATGTGTTTGCTGGGTAAGTGATATACAATTCTGATAAAAACCAATGAACCATTGAACAGTTTATAAGAATATCTCGTCATCATATATCTACTAGTTCATCTGCACCTGCTGCATTTCTTGCTTGGACGCCCTTTGATGCTTTGCATCAATACTTTTCTTGTATAGGATTTGAACAAAGTACAACTTTGGGTCTCCTGAAGAGTTTTTCAACATCATTTTTACCCCATCTTACTACTTTGTTTACCTTTTAGCCCTAATTGTTCTGGAATTTCATTCATTACACCCATTATCAGGAGATAATTTGGTAATCTGTTACTTATCATTGTGGGAGGTCTGTAGAAATCTGTACGACAAGATTTTCAAAATAGAACATGTCCTATCCCTTACATCTAGACTTAATTGGTTTCCGAATTCAAGAAATAGTAGCCTTCACACATAAAGATTTGCCTGTACATCTTAGTTTTAATTGGGGTTGTACTTCAAAATCCTACCGTCTGTTGAGGCCTTTATTTTTTTTAATATCAATAATCATTATTTTGATCAAATGGTTGCTAAAGTATATCCATGTGAAATTAATTGGGATTAAACAAACATTTAAGAAATTACTACATCCTTTTTGTATTTCAACATTTCTGTCATGCTATGGTAACTAAATCTATAATATTTTGAATTTAATATCGCAACGGAGAAGTACCTCGCAATTATTTAGCGTTGCTAGAGCGTGCAGTCCTGTCGATGATTTTAATGAACGCAATCTTTTTATTACTGACAAACTTGTAACCTCGTGTATCATACACCATTTTTCATGGAATGACACGAAAGTGACTTATTGAAGGTTAGATGATAACCGCCGTATGAAAACATCTACGGATGTTTCTAAATTCAACATTTTACCATTTTTAGGTTAAAATGTTGAATTCTGCTTAAGCTCAGGACGGGGAAGGTAATTTCCACTTTCCAATACCGTCAATGGCCAGGACTGGAAGATTTCAAACAGAACAGCCATTCACACAAAACATAAATGTAATGCTAAACGATCTTCAAGCAACCGTAAAATAAAAGCCCTCCACAATCGCTCTACAATTTGATGTCGATAATCGGTTACGTTTATTTAACGTTTATTATTTACGTGTACCTTATAAATTAAACCTGAATAGAAACCGATTGATCCATATTCCAGGGATTCCCCATTTACAAACATATTTTTCATAGCTTGTGTTTTGTAAAGAAATGTACATTTGATTGACTTTGGTTTTTCCGTTTCGTAACTTTTGGATAATCTAGGACGTACAGTAAGTCTTCTTCTCTGATATTGTGTATAGAAACATATATAAAAACAATAAGGACACCCCACATTGAAATATTTGAGTTGAAACACGCTGTGGCGAACACTTCATATCAAATGAGTCAGGACGGCATATATAATGGATTTGTTGAGAACAAAATAACCACACAGTAGAATAGGAAAAGCCATGCAAAATAACAAGCTCGAATTGTATTTGAATGATGCATTTGAAAAAGAATGTGCCTATGAAATTGAAGAAGCTGAAATAGAATTCATCAAAACTGGAATAGAAACACTTGTGAATAGGATTGTCACGAAAGTTCTAGCAGACGACAGCTTGCAGAAAAACATGACGAAAATGTTTGAAACATATTTTGAAGGAAAACTGATAAGAAGTTCCGTTAACATTGTCGGAGCAGGAAGTTTTTACGAAGGGACAAAAAATAAATTCCCCAATGAATTTGATTTGATAGTTATTCTTTACTGCTGTGAAGGTACACCTAAACAATTCAAACAATATCTTCAAGAAGCAAACGTATTCAATACAGTTACAGACACTTTTACAACAATTGTGAAAGATGTAGTGGAACAAAATGAACATGATTTGCTATATTTTATTTCGAGTGCTGATCAAGAAAATTCTAAGCTTTACTTTGCAAAACATTTAAGTTATCATGGCCCTGCAACATGGCTGAGATTCGTCTATGAAAATGAAGCAAAACTAAAGAGGGACATAGACGTAGATTTAGTTGCTGCCTTAAAGATTTCCGACAGGGCTATTTTGGAGCACGCGGTGAAAGAATATTGTGCATTGGAAGAGTTTTCGCAACAAGTGCTCACAGCTGGGAGTTGTTTTTGTATCGGGGCAAATTACTCCTTCACGCCGACAGAAGTGCATATCATAAAGGATATGTTATCTGAAAATCACAGAAAAATTTACAGACTCCTCAAGTTCCTAATAAATGGACACGGTGATGTGGAGCAATTGACAAATCTAGGAACATTCGAGAAATCCTATTCCTCGTTCATGATCAAGACCTTGATGATCTATCATCATTTCAGGTGCCACAAGCCTGACAACGATCATCTGGGACCGTGTTTGTTGGAAATATTAGATGAAATGTGTCAATATGAAACTTCCTCAGATTTCCCCAGTCTGTTTAAAACAGACCATAGGATAATGTTGAGGTGTGATTTGGTTCTCGGTTGTTACGTTAAGTCTCTTCTAAAGAAATTGAGAACACTTCAAAAAGTTTCCGGGACATATTATAACTACGAAAAAAACAAAATCAAACAATCTGTGTCAAAAACATACAATGACCATCAAGGAACTAAATGCTTTTGTGTTTTAATATGATGAAATATATTCCTTCTCTTTTCTACAATATCTACACTCATTAGGTAATACGTTTACAGTGTTGTACACAGTGTTAACATGTTAAAATGCTTTGTACAAGTCTCTTTGCCAGTAATTTCTAAAGAGTATAATAAATTTAAAAAAACGCATTTGAAATATGATAACACCACTATTTAAGTAATTATGTTTGGACTTTTGTGTTGTAATATTTCTCCTTTGATTACACTGATTTTAGATTTTTAGAAAGAAATTTATAATTTATTATTGCAAATTCATAACGATAAACCATAATGAATGATTTTATTATATCAAATATCTTCAATATTCAATTTCTTATTGGTGTATCCGAATAAATCTGATTACAGTTTATTCTTTTGAGATTTTGATTCGATTTACTCATATTTTTGTCGATCTAACCAAGAAAAACAATTTATACACTAACAAATTCTGACCTAGTGGTCCAAATAAAAAAATGCAGGAATAAAAGGCTATAGTAAATTCTTCGCCCAAGTTCATCCCAGATATATTCAATGGGATTCAAATCCGGGGAGACAGCGGGCCAGGGCAAGACGTTTACGTGGTTGCGAGGTAGAACATTGGCTGTTGAACGGGCAGTGTGTGTTCTTGCATTGTCTTGCTTGAAAGTTAACCTAGAAGCATGAGCCTGCATGAATGAAGAGTGTTTGCCAGAATATGCACATAACCCTGTGCTGTAAGGTTGCTGCGCACAACCACAAACTCTGTCTTTCGGTTACCCATAATCCCTCCCCATACCACCACACGTCCCCATCCAAACCTATCCCTTTCCCGCATACAACATTGTGCGAAACCTTCATTTCTTAAGCGAGATTCTTCGATGAAAATAACCCGACCCCACTGGTTTCATGTCCAGCGTAAGTGACGCTGTGCCCAGGCCAACCTTGCGACCCTATGGCGCGGTCTCAGTATCTGATTAGTATATGTTCTTCGGCATAAATTGGAATGCGGATTACATAAGGCGATTTCGGATAGTTTGGACCCTGACATGTAGCTGCTGAGCAGCAGCTGTAGCAGACAAAATCCGGTTGCAAAGGTAAATCAGCCTAATGGTGTCGTCGTCCCTTAGTGACGCCACACGATGTGCACCAGATCCAGTATTACTAAACTGTGCACTAAGATTATGAATTGTTTGCCTAGAGCAGCCAAAATGTTATGCAACGTCTATATAACCCAAGCAGCACCCGCTTGCAGCATCCCAATCGCCTAATTACGTTGATTTTCAGTTGAGTTGCCCATCCATGATACAACTGCACGAGATTATGGGGTTTGTGTAGTGTATCGACAGGCCAATAATATGAGGTAGAGTTGCGTATCACGCATGATAAATGATAAATACGTACTGAAATGTACATGTAGGTTTACATAATGTAAAGTTTCTTTTTTGCTGAGTGTATAATATATCTCTATTGATTTGTAATACAATAATCTAAATCGTTTTGGATCTGAATAAATAAATATAAAACTTTGTTTTTTTTATGATCTTTATTATCAATTTCATCTTTTATACATGTATATCTAAACTCCCAATAGAATTAAAAACATATTTAATTTGAGTACCTGATTGCTTCATAATTTAGTGTATAACACAAAATTAGAAAACATGATGTCAGCACGATCAAGGCTCCGTTGTCTGTGTAACATTTTTGCTTTAGGTACATGTTAAGTTGAATAACATAATACACCATACATGTATTGTTATTAAGAGAATTATTTGATACACATAAAACAGTATTGTTTAATCTAGTACCAAACTGCACATTGGTTATCTTTTTTGAATAATCCAACAAGCCATAAAATGTCAAAATACAATACCACATTGTAGCATGACATGTTAAACTATAATAACATGATACTCTAGGTGCCTACAGTTCCTTTATAATAGAGTTCCCTGGATGGTAATATACTACAATTAGGGTCACTGCTATATTAACAACTGTCTTATATATATTATAGTTTAGAAAAATAAAGGTAATAGGAGCACATATACTCGTTCATAAAGTAATTAGCAACGCACATGAAATAAATATACTCTTAATATACACCACCCCAACCTTAAAAAGGACTAAATGCCTGGCTAGATCTACAATAATTAATTCATGTATCCAGTTATATATCAAAATCAGAGTAACGTTTCAACAAAGACCATTTGATTTGTGTAAAAAATGAATATTTAAAACTTTAAAAATAGAAATTAAAAAAAAAACAATATATATACATAAATAAATGAAGTAGTAAAGACAGAAAGCACATATTTAACCTCACTTTGAGTCTGAAGTCTTCAAGTCTGAAGTACAATGAAAAGGAACATATGGACCATAAAGCGGTCAAAATAAAGCAAGTTTGTATACTTTTGTAGCATAGAAAAATAAAAACACAAACATTAAACATATGTTTATTTAAAAGCTATATCAAATTATCAGTTAAGTCTAAAATAATGTTCACACTCACAGACACTTGGGGTCAGACCCTATACCTCACCTGGAAAAGCCCCTGTGAACATTCAATAAAGACTTATAGGTTTTAACACAAATGGGGCATCTGTCTTAATCATTAATATTGTATTTAAACCATTTCAAAAGAATAAAAAAAATATTAAAAAAAAACATGTACCATCAAGTGTCAAAAAAATACCTTTTGACACTTGACAATACATGGGATTTTTTTAAATACTTGTGGCATTGGTTTAAAAATAATTTTAAAGATTATTAAGACAAAATTAATGGCCCATTTATGTTAAAAGTTTTTATTGACCGTTTAAAGGGGCAGTTCAAGTCGGGGGATAGGGTCAGTCTGACCTCCAAGTGTCTGTGTTTACAATAAGCACACAGGGATCTAAACTATACAAAGACAAAAATTTAGTAAAATGATAAAATAAACAACTTTTAGGCAAGCACAGATATTTATGGCTGTAACAAGTATTATAATATGTATATAAATAAAAAAAAAAATAAAACTAATAATTTCCTGCCATAAAAAACGTTCAACATTTTTCTCTGACCAGGATTTGTGTAAATAGATATATGTATAATAAAATCACAACAAGAATTATTACCCACCTTAAAAACGTCATATTTTCAATAAATCATTGAATAAATTAATGGGCTACGAGAAACAGTGAGCAAGATAAATGTGAAGGGTGGATAGAAAGAATAAACCAGTACCTATATGCTCCACAAAAAATATTAGGGAATGTAAAAAACTATATTTCATTGCAAAAAAAAAAAAAAAGATAAAAAAAGGATAAAAAATGGGTCAAAGACAGAAAAGGCCAGGTTGCATTTGTACACCAAATATCATGAGGCTGTGATGTTACGAAAAAAATTTACCATTGACCCATTAATGTCAAAAATTTAATAAAGTGGGTAAACAGGAAGTGGATGAGCTACACACCTAAAATCAAATCCCATGGTATGGGACCCATGTGTCAATGCTCTATGCCAAATATCAAGAGGCTGTGATAAGTAGTTGCTGAGAAAACTGTTACGAAAATTTCCTACCATTGACCATTAACCCATTACTTCATGAGCATTTTGTGAAAAATGGCTGTTTTCATTGAAAAGTCTCCTGTTACAAGTTCAAATTGCTATAATACTATAAAAACTGCTTCAACACTAATCAAACTTGGCACAAATGTTGACTGGACCATTGCCCTTGCAACAACATGCTCAGGCTTAAATTTTCTGTTACCATGGCAATGAGGGGACATCTCAAAATTGCCAAAAATCACTATTTTGCGTTGATTTTTTCCATCAAAATTGATTTCAAAGTGCTGCAACTTCTCAATGGATTGAGATAGAGTCAAATGCTTTTCAGCGTTGGTTACACGTTACCTTATGATCAATCTGGGGTCATTTACAGCCTCTCACAAGTCCAAAATTTTCTTGGCGATGAGGGGGACTCCGCCCCCTTCAAACCCCCCAAACAGAAGGGGGCACATCCCCCTTCTGGCAACCCCCTGATGTATCTTTTGGTTGGGGGGTCGCGCCGAAAAAGAGGTCACTTTTTTTAACAACATTTCTCAAACAAAAACAAGTGTTTGGGGCCTAAATAAGGCATTTTTTCATCATTTGAGACAACAAAAAGGGGGGGGGGGTGAAAAAGGCGTTGTTAAAAGGCGTGTATATGAAGTAATGGGTTAATGTCGAAAAATTTAACAAATTTAACTAAGTGGATAAACAGGAAGTGGATGAGTGACAGACCTGAAATCAAATCCCACGATATGGGACCATGTATCTATGCTGCATGCCAAATATCAAGAGGCTGTGATAAGTAGTTGCTGAGAAAACTGTTACGAAAATTTCCTACCATTGACCATTAATGTCGAAAAATTTAACTAATTTAACTAAGTGGATAAACAGGAAGTGGATGAGCGACAGACCTGAAATCAAATCCCATGATATGGGACCATGTATCTATGCTGTATGCCAAATATCAAGAGGCTGTGATAAGTAGTTGCTGAGAAAACTGTTACGAAAATTTCCTACTATTGACCATTAATGTCGAAAAATTTAACTAATTTAACTAAGTGGATAAACAGGAAGTGGATGAGCGACAGACCTGAAATCAGATCCCAGGGTATGGGACCATGTGTATATGCTGTATGCCAAATATCAAGAGGCTGTGATAAGAAGTTGCTGAGAAAACTGTTACGAAAAATATTTTCCCCGCCCGCCTGCCCGCCCGCCGCCCAACATTCACCATACTATAACCAGGATTTGCACCAGTGCAACCCGTCCAAAAATACAAAAACTGAACCAATATTTGCTACAAACAATGATCTAGAATAGATAACATGCTCCTAAAGTAAGCCTGTAGCAAAATAAAATATGAAAATAATTTATGTAATAATGAAAATATGTGACTAAACACATGCTTAATGTTTGTTTGTTTGTATTGGGTTTTACGTCACATCGACACAGTATAGGTCATATCGCGACATTCCAGCTTTACTGGTGGAGGAAGACCTCAGGTACCCTTCCGTGCATTATTTCAGGCACGAACGGGCACCTGAGTAGAACCACCAACGTTCCGTAAGCTAGCTGGATAGCTTCCTCACATGAAAGAATCCAAAGTCCCTGTCGGGATTCGAACCCACAGCGGTGAGGGGCAAGTGACATGCTTAATGAATGGAAAATCTAAACCTAACTATGAGCATGTACTTTTCAAGTAATCACATTTAAAAATGTAAAATGTATGCTAAAAGACTACAATGTACCATGTCAAAAAGGCCCCAGAGTAGTCTGCTAGATTACATTTTTTACAAGGACAATATTTTATGCTAGAAAAGTGAAATTAATTCTAATTGTGTAACAGATTCTCTTTTACCCAATATGCATATTAAATAGCATTTTATATATGAATTGATTTATGGAATGTTTGCTGATTCAAATTTTGATTAAATATGAGTCAAACGCTTTGCGCCAAATACACTGTAGTAATGTAAGAGTATATATAAATAACAATAATAATATTTAAATAACTTTACAATGCAAAATCAGTTTCTGTACAGTATGGCCAGGCCTTTTCCTTGCCCTGCCTGATCTTTTGGTAATTGATAGCCAAAATGTAAATTTTTCTCAACAAATTAAAAAATTAACATGAAGCAGAAAAAAGTGATTTGGCTGGTAATTTTGGCTGGAAAGGCTGGAACTGTAAAACAATGTACATCATACATAACCTGAAAATTTTATACATTGCCCAATTTATTCAATGTACATTTTGAAGTGCATGTCAAGAATGCTGGAAAAGGTCTAATTTCAGTATGTTCACTTATTCAAATTAAAGTTTGGTCACCTATTTAAAAGGTAAAATAAAGTACCGTTGGTATAAGATTTACAGAATTAATGACTTCATGTACACAATCAATCTCAATATAATACATTAAAGTTATTACATCAAGTCTGTGTATATCTCATTTAAAGACTCATTATGTCCTAGAAATGCTTTAATTTTTATTTCTGGAACGTTTTTTTATATTTGGTGTACTGGTATAGTTTCAAGGCCTATTACCAGAATCATATTTTGCTTATGTTGCTTTCTAAAAATAAGTAAAGCTCTATAGTGATTTAGTATTTTTATGGAAGACAAAGTAATATTTTGTCTAAATTTTGCTACTTTCATGACAAATAATTTCACATTCAAAGCTACTTTCTTCATGAAATAAGCATCTAAAATGCTTAAACCCATTATTTAAATATCATAAACTCATGTTTGCCCTTTCCAAAGAAGGAAAAATGTATTCTCATTTCTGAGGCATAATGTGCCTTTAAAATTAACATCTAACTTTCAGGAGAGATTTAAAACAAAAACATACTTTATAAATAACAAAAATGAGTGAAGAAATTAAACTCTGCACAAAAACAAACAATTGGTGTCAAAGGCAGCTTGGTAGAGAAATCTAGAGTTCCCAAGAAATCAAAGCCTGTGAGAAGAAGATCATAAAAGACAAAAACACACCTCTCTAACATTAAGGTTCCCAAAAATATGATGAAATAATAGAACATGACATTGACATATTTTTCTCATTATATTAATAAATATAAATTTGTGACATATAAAAATACATGTTTTCATTAATATATTTAAAAGATCACAAGATTATTGGACAAGCTAAGACAAAATAGGACATTGAATAAGGTAAGACAAAATAGGACACTGAACAAGGTAAGACAAAATAGCACATTGATAAGGTAAGACAAAATAGGACATTGATAAGGTAAGACAAAATAGGACACTGAATAATAATGTAATACAAAACAGGACACTGAATAAGGTAAGACAAAATAGGATATTGAATAAGGTAAGACAAAATAGGACACTAAATAAGGTAAGACAAAATAGGACAGAAACTCTAGTATTGCCAATTTAATTGTACTATGAAATTACTTTTTTCGTTTACTGAAAGATATTTTATGGCACTGTATCAAAATATATATATATACATCTGTATAGTATAAAATAATCTTTTTTGCCTGTTAACATCCTTATTAGATATTTACACAACCAGCATCTATTCAGTTGAAATCAAAATTTCTATCCTCAAATATTCAAGGTTTTACAAAATAAATTTCATATAAATATTGTGTTGTATTATATTAAACACATTGTAAAGCAACACATTGTAAAGCAACTTGAACTGAAATAAGTTATGTAGTTTACTATTAATTAAAATATGATAGCAAAAAAAGAAGAAAATACTGTAAAGATACTAAATTAGAAAAGATATCTTAACAAACAAAAACATATACAAAAGAGGAACTGTAAAAATTGGAATTCTGTATTTTTGGTCAGATCATTTTAAAATTATAAGAGAAGGCTAACTTTACTGATAATCAGAGTTCAGAGGGGTCATGGATCTTGCCATTCTTCTTTGCCTCATTTTTGTTTGATGCAACATTGTCATCTCCCTCACCTCCGTAGCCTCCGTCAACAGAGTTACTTCTCTTTCTGTCACCATGGTGATGAGTTCTCCCAGCTGATTGGTGATACAGCCTTGAGTCTTTCAGAGCAAACAAATCTCTCCTTGTGTCAGAATCCTCTTCTTCCTCCATGGCCGGTATTTTCTGATGTCTATCTTCAGGATCAAAGTCTACTAACTCATGCTCACTTTCTGTATGTTCCATTTCTTAAAATTATAAAACATGTTTTCACATATAGAAAAAGGATTTTTTCTCTAATTAAAAATTGTTTCAAGTGAGAAATCATTGGTTGTCTATAACTAATAAGTTAACATAAACATTTGGGGTACATTTGAACATCAAACCAAGGCTCATGTATTGCTTTCATATATTACTATATAGTTTTATTAAAATTCACAGTGTTACTATAAGACTTTGGTTATGGGTCAATTTCTGGGTTGCCTTAAACTCTTCTATTTACTAAGACCTTGAAGGTCACTTTACAACATAAGTGTATTTCTAACTTCCAATCCAGGCAGGACTTTAACTCAAAAAGATGTCAGGCATGATTGTGGTTTTCAATTTCAACCATAAATACTATTCTAAACCACTATTATTTCTCTATCCTTTTTGGGGCTGGCAATCAAAAGATGGTCTAATGGTAGGATAACCATATTTTCAAAATGTGTTGTTAACTCTGTTTAACACAACCTGTCAGAAACCAAAGGTCACCCGTATCAGCATACTCATTGGCATATAGTTCCAATAGGTCAACTTTTACAGAAATACCCTTTAAAAATTAAGTTACAATAAACTTACTTTCTGGCACATCATCCGGGACATTCGATCTCATTTTACTCTCCTTCGAAGATTTTTTACTATTATCAGCTTCCCAATCTATTATTTTAAGGAATTCATATCCTTTATTCTTAGGTTTCCATTCTTCATTCTTTAGCATAACTAGAAATGGAAACAATACAAAAATATTTTTGTGGGAATGTTATTTCAATTCATTCAGGGATGCAGTTGACTACATGTACATCTTTACCAACATGATCCCATACATGCCTGGTATAGTCACACAGCACTGCTCTGTGCATTTTTTGAAGAATTTTTTTTTTCTTCATCAAATTTTTATTTCGAAAAGAGTACAGTAGTTAAATTTATTGGAAAGCAGAATTATAGAAAGAAACTATTTTTCATATTAAATAATGCTATTCATACAAAAGTAACAAATATATTTTACTTATATTAAGATATCACACATAAATTATCAAGATAGAAAAACTGCATCATATTTTGAGCTGACGGTGACACTCTTTAAATGAAGTAACCAGAGGGCCATGATGGCCCTGAGGTCGCTCACCTGTATATAGGCCCCTGGAGCGGGGCCAGTTTAAACCCCAGGGCTTTTATTTGAACAAACTTGAAAGACACCCATCAGAAGATGTTTTATAATGTTAAGTTTTTACGACACACATATAATGAAAAAAATGATCTCTCTCCTGTTTCTCCCCCTCCCGGCAGGGCCAATTTTAACCAAAGGGCTTTTATTTGAACAAACTTGGTAGACACCCATAAGAATATGTTACATCTTAAACATCTAAGCTGTAGCTCATTGGGTTTTTTAAAAGAAGATTTTTTAAGTTTTTACTATACACATATAGTTAAAAACAATGACACCCCTGGGGCGGTCCAAATTTGACCCCAGGGCTTTTATTTGAACAAACTTTGTAGACACTCACTAGAAGAGGTTTCATGCTTAATATCTAAAGTTTGCTATTTGGGTTTTTTCAAAGAAGGTTTTTAAGTTTTTGCTATACACATATAAGGAAAATCAATGACCCCCGGGGCGGGGCCAATTTTGACCCCAGGGCTTCTATTTGAACAAACTTGGTAGACACCCATTAGAACATGTTTCATGCTAAATATCTTAGCTCTAGCTCTTTGAGTTCTTTTTTAAAGATTTTTTAAGTTTTTACTATATGAATATAGGGAAAATCAATGACCCCCTGGGGCGGGGCCAATTTTGACCCCAGGGCTTTTATTTGAACAAACTTGGTAGACATTCATTAGAAGATGTTTCATGCTAAATATCTAAGCTCTAGCTCTTTGGGTTCTTTAAAAGAAGATTTTTTAATGTTTTTACTATATGCATATAGGGAAAATCAATGACCCCCTGGGGTGGGGCCAATTTTGACCCCAGGGCTTTTATTTGAACAAACTTGGTAGACACTCACTAGAAGATGTTTCATGCCAAATATCTAAGCTCTAGCTCATTGGTTTTTTTAAAAGAAGATTTTTTAAGTTTTTACTATACACATATAGTTAAAAACAATGACACCCCTGGGGCGGTCCAAATTTGACCCCAGGGCTTTTATTTGAACAAACTTTGTAGACACTCACTAGAAGATGTTTCATGCTAAATATCTAAAGTTTGCTATTTGGGTTTTTTCAAAGAAGGTTTTTAAGTTTTTGCTATACACATATGAGGAAAATCAATGACCCCCGGGGCGGGGCCAATTTTGACCCCAGGGCTTCTATTTGAACAAACTTGGTAGAGACCCATTAGAACATGTTTCATGCTAAATATCTTAGCTCTAGCTCTTTGAGTTCTTTTTTAAAGATTTTTTAAGTTTTTACTATATGAATATAGGGAAAATCAATGACCCCCTGGGGCGGGGCCAATTTTGACCCCAGGGCTTTTATTTGAACAAACTTGGTAGACACTCATTAGAAGATGTTTCATGCTAAATATCTAAGCTCTAGCTCTTTGGGTTCTTTAAAAGAAGATTTTTTAATGTTTTTACTATATGCATATAGGGAAAATCAATGACCCCCTGGGGTGGGGCCAATTTTGACCCCAGGGCTTTTATTTGAACAAACTTGGTAGACACTCACTAGAAGATGTTTCATGCCAAATATCTAAGCTCTAGCTCATTGGGCTTTTTAAAAGAAGATTTTTTAAGTTTTTACTATACACATATAGTTAAAAACAATGACACCTCTGGGGCGGTCCAAATTTGACCCCAGGGCTTTTATTTGAACAAACTTTGTAGACACTCACTAGAAGATGTTTCATGCTTAATATCTAAAGTTTGCTATTTGGGTTTTTTCAAAGAAGGTTTTTAAGTTTTTGCTATACACATATAAGGAAAATCAATGACCCCCGGGGCGGGGCCAATTTTGACCCCAGGGCTTCTATTTGAACAAACTTGGTAGACACCCATTAGAACATGTTTCATGCTAAATATCTTAGCTCTAGCTCTTTGAGTTCTTTTTTTAAGATTTTTTAAGTTTTTACTATATGAATATAGGGAAAATCAATGACCCCCTGGGGTGGGGCCAATTTTGACCCCAGGGCTTTTATTTGAACAAACTTGGTAGACACTCACTAGAAGATGTTTCATGCCAAATATCTAAGCTCTAGCTCTTAGGGTTTTTTAAAAGAAGATATTTAAAGTTTTTTTATTTGGTTGCCATGGCAACCAGAGTTCTGCATGGAATTAAATTCTTTGAACAATTTTTAAAGGTGACAAAGGAACATTCCTGTGAAGTTTGGAAGAAATTGGCTTAGTGGTTTATGAGGAGATGTCATTTAAAGTAAAAGTTTACGGACGGACGGACGACAGACGGCCGGACGCCGGACGAAAAGTGATCACAAAAGCTCACCCAGTCACTTTGTGACAGGTGAGCTAAAAATACATGATTTAAAATTAAATCTGTTTGTGTAAATTCTCTATACATACTAGATGGTTCAACATTTCCTTTAACAATGCTAGCTATCCAGTTTGTTACTGTTGTCTTATCAATGTCTACAGATGCTAGATTGAAAACTTCACCCTGAAATATATAAAACAGTACATATACAAACAAGTAATTTGTTTCTATGTTGTTGTTATTTTTTAATTTTTTTTGTAAATAAAATATTTATTAGTAAACTTCACAATGAGCTTACTAAACACATAAAAAACTATGCTTAGAAAATGATTTGAAATACATATAACATTGAATTGTGTCTCCTTATGAAACATTTTGAGGGCTCCATGAAAAATGTTAATTCTTATTCATCTACTGTAAACATTTAAATAACAGTTCCAAGTTTTAATATCATATAATATATAACAATTACAGCAATATAGTGGCACATCTCTGCTGTCAGTTCACTAATTCAGACACAAAACAACAACAACAACAACACTGATTTGGTAAACTGCTCCTTAAAATCTAGCTGCATTGCTCTTCAAAGGTTTTAGTATCATTGAAAAATGTAGAGGATAAACAATCTAAATATTTAAAGCATTTTGTCACCGTGATATCTTCCATACAAGTTAAGAAGCAGCATGTATTACATGCCTTGTTTCAAGACATTTTACATAAAAAGTTTACATTAATCTGTTTTTTTGTGTGTCTCAACACATTTGTCAAAAACCATATCCACTACTGGTTTCCTAGCAGTTTCCAGCCCTAATTGTAAGAACACAGATAAGTATCTGTCAAGCATTACCTTTTTTATGATTTGCTCTAATACTTTTCTTTTTAATAGAATTTGGGCAAGGCATCTTTTAAAATTATTGCGACATTTTCATTGTGAATATAATTATGTGCCAGTAAGTCATGTTAAGGTGATTTTTGAAGCTCAAATACTGTTGATTGAAAGTTTCTCATATTTTCTGCTAGTATAATCTTCAAAAAGTTAATTTTCCTGGAATGGCAGGTGCTGCCTTTTTTTTCTTAAATAGCAAGTTTCCTAAAGTAACTTTAAACAACAGGCAAATGTTTAATGTATAAAAACTGTTGAAATTATTTATTGGCTGCATTGCAAAGAAAACAAAATATCTCTGATTTGGGTCCAGAAACTGCTAGGAAACCAGAACAACATTGTTAATTTGGAGCTGAGTTATACTAAAGCAGTATCTGAACCAATATAGCAAAACAAGCCAGTTGTTTGTAGTATCAGAACCACATTGAAGAAATCTTCCATCATTAGTTGATTTGTATAGTTGGTTTATCTATCTTACCTTCTGAAACTTGACAAAAGAGAGATGAGGGATTTCAGGCTGGGATGTATATTCACTCAATACACGAAACCCTACACTGGAATCATCTGGACTGAAAAAGTTCATATGTCATACTTTATAAGGAGACCATTTCACAGAATACTCTTTCCATGGAGACACAGCTTTGCATATCATTAAAGAAAGAAAAACAAATGCATAATTTCTCTTTTTATCTTATTTCGTCAAAAAAAACACAAAAAAACAAAAACTAGCATGTAATAAGTAATCATACCATACATGTATTATCAGCATCATAATACATTTCTGTACTAAATGCTGAAGTTATAAAAAACAAGAGTTATTTTACAATATTAAAGATTCTAAAAAGCATTATGCTCCAGAAATCCTTGAATTTTTATTTTTTAAAAGCATTTTAATTTTGTTGTCCTGTTATAGTTTTCTAAAACTTACTCATTGACCAAACACCTGTATCATCTTTTGCTTCTTTTGCTTTATTTTGTATGGAAGTCAAAATACTCCATTGTTTACATTTTGCTACCTTTCAGACAAATAATTTCATGTTCAGCGCTACTTTCATCAGTTGATAAGCATCTAACATGCTCTGAACCAGTATTTATACATTATAAAACTCATGTTTGCTCTTTTCACCTTTTCCTTGGTTGGATTTAACATCACACCAACACAGTATGGGTTAATTTTAAGCTTAAGCCATGAAAGAAGACCTAAGGTGTCCCTCCGTGCACTATTTCAGGCACAAATAGACACCTTACTAGAACCAACAACAATCTGTAAGCAAACTAGATAGCTTCTTTACATGAAATAATCCAAAGTCCCTGGTGGGATTCAAACCACAGCAGTGAGTGGCAAGCAGATTTTTCTACCTTACACTTTGAATTATGATAACAGCAAAATACTTACACTTTCATCATGTTAAATGAGACATTATTGAAGCGTTCAGCTTTTACAATTTCTCGAACAATATCTTCAGATTGTTGACTGTTGTCTGTACCATCCGTAAACAGTATTAGTAAATCTGTAAACTTCCTACGTATTTCAGGGAACATCAGGGGTGTCAAGACAGGCTGTACATGATAAATATAATTCACATTAAATACAGATGCATGTATATTCTTTTTCTTTTTGTTTAAATTTTATTTAGAGCATTACTAATGGTCTAATTCTAATGGAAATCCTTAATGCTTACAATGCCTATATTATTTAAATAAAGATTTTGTCTTGCTTTGAATTTACAAGTGAACATTGTCAATGTTTGGAATTTTGGTAATAAGATGCACAAATGATATAGAAGTATATAATTTGCTTGGATGTACAGGTTGACCTCCAACTATACTGTAGACATTAGCAATCGAAGGATTAATAAATTCAAACAAAGTTTTTTAAGTGTAGTTAAATAATGTTTTGACAACTTGGCAACCAAGTACCACATTTTTTTTCCTATTTACCTATCATAAACCATTAACTTGCTTGGACTGAAAAAGACTTGTCTTTGCCACTAGCATACAGCCAGGACAATCTGCACATGCAGTCTGACAAGGTTCTACACTGTTGGTAGCTCAAGTTTAGTATCCCTTAAATTTAAATGGACTTTTCCAAATTCAAAGCAGGGCAAATCCGTTACACACATTCAGCAGATTGATAGTTAAATGACTACATTTAAAGCAACTTACCATCTATAGATCACAACAAATCAATTTTAATCAATGGTCATAAAAAATACTCAATTTTTACAAAACAATTCTACTTTAAGCAAAACATAAACTATTCATGTGCACTTTAAGAAATAAACATAATCATGTTCGCTGTGTAATCTTCACATAAAACTTACAAGTTTAGGAAGCTTATTGTTCTCCACAAATTCTTGCAGATTTTCAATAGTAAATTTTCCATCAAATGTAACATAAGGCTGTATAGTATCATCATTCTTTGATAGAATTACTGCTGGTACTGTTGTACTAAACTTCTTTGCTCTGAAGAAAAATATATCCTACATAAACATTGAGATACTTGCAGTATCAATTAAAGAAAGAATAAGTTCAATCAAGTTACCTCAATGTATGAGTATATCACTGATGATTTAATCAGTTGTTATTGTTATCTTTTATTCCTTACTAGCTTATCCTCAAATCTATCATGAAATATTCAATTACAACACCAAAATCAAACAAACTTTAATAGTGGCCTTCCTGATGGTTTCTTACTTTCTACATAAAGTTTTTTATCCTGAAGAATCACAGTTTAAAGGGCAAAACACCTGAACAAACTCTATTTGTTCAGAACAGTTTATTACATACAAACTATTTTGTACCCATACATATCAATACAATAGGCAATAAGAATTGAAAATTCATATTTGCAAAATTACTTGAATTTATTCACAACTAGAAATGTGTCATCATGCCACGGATGCCCCCGCATGCAGCCAAAATTTCAGATGGTGCATTAATTTTTTTTTTTCATTTTAAGTTCAAAGCCCTTAAAACTTTTCAATGTTAACACAAACCATTTCCATACAACGTTCAAGGCACTGAAATTATTCAGTCTTAACCTTTAGAAAAAGCATATTGCATATTTGTAGCCAAAATAATGGCTAAAAGAATGAGTGCTGAAACTGAAAGTTCAAAATTTTTCCAACATTCAGGAAAGATAAGTTTGTCTAAAATCATTGAACCATGACCAAATTCAAACTTAAACTGCTTATTCTTAAGATGTATCTATATTATTTTCAAAGTGAAAGGGACATAACTCTGCCAAAAAAACATCAAACCCTGACCAAATTCCAACTTGACCTGCCCATTCCTTTGACATATCCATATGTCAAATTAAAATTTAAAATGTAACACTATTAGGTAGATAATGAACAGAAACTGTAAATTTCATATTATTTTCAAAGTGAAAGGGGCATTACTCTGCCAAAAATCATTGAACCATGACCAAACTCGAACTTGGTCTGGGCATTCCAGAAACATATCCATATGTCAAATTTGAGTTGAATGTGTTGTACCATAGGGGAGATAATAAACGGAAACTGAAAATTTCATATTACTTTCAAAGTGAAAGGGGCATAACTCTGCCAAAAATCATTGAACCATGACCAAATTTGAACTTGACCTGCGCATTTCATTGACGCATCCATATGTCACGTTTGAGTTGAATGTGTTGTACCTTGAGGGAGATAATGAACGGAAACTGAAAATTTCATATTATTTTCAAAGTAAAAGGGGCATAACTCTGCCAAAAATCATCGAACCACCACCAAATTTGAACTTGACCTGCGCATTCCTTTGACGCATCAATATGTCAAGTTTGAGTTGATTGTGTTGTACCGTTGGGGAGATAATGAACGGAAACTGAAAATTTCATATTATTTTCAAAGTAAAAGGGGCATAACTCTGCCAAAAATCATCGAACCATAACCAATTTCGAACTTGACCTGTATTTTCTCATAACATATCCATATGTCAAGTTTGAGTTGAATGTGTCCAACCGTTCTTGAGATAATGAACGGAAACTGAAATTACATATTATTTTCAAAGTAAAAGGGGCATAACTCTGCCAAAAATCATCGAACCATGACCAAATTCGAACTTGACCTGTATTTTCTCATGACATATCCATATGTCAAATTTGAGTTGAATGTGCCCAACCGTTCTTAAGATAATGAACGGAAACTGATGATGACGGAATGACAGAATGACGGAAGGACGGAAGGATGGAAGGATGAAAGGACGGAAGGACGGAATGACGGAACAGGGTAACACTATATGCCCCGGCCATTACATGGCGGGGGCATAAAAATCGTTTTGCCTTAACTTGCTGGAAGTAATTAAGATTTAAATAAATTAAAACAAGAAACAAAATGTCACTATGATTATATTTGCTTACATTGATGCAGCATCTTGTATGTCTGTATATACAAACATGATCCTGTCTCTACAACTCTCAGCAAACTGTTTGAAAACTTCTTTCTCTGTAAATATTTAATGTATAACTAAATGAGCCGCGACATGACAAAACCAACATAGTGCGTTTGCGACCAGCATGGATCCAGACCAGCCTGCGCATCCGCAAAGTCTGATCAGGATCCATGCTGTTCCCTATTAGTTTCTCTTCTTGTATTAGGGTTTGTAAGCAAACAGCATGGATCCTGATCAGACTGCGCGGATGCGCAGGCTGGTCTGGATCCATGCTGGTCGCAAACGCACTATGTTGGTTTTGTCATGGCATGGCTCAAATGTATTTTAAACACTTATCATACACAACTGTTCCTGTTACTATCTGTATATATATATATTTTTGTTTCAGTAATTGCCAGTTTATGTTCTAATTTGTTCATGTGTACGACATTTAATTAGCAATATTTTTCAGGATCAAAATTTTATCAATTCCACACTAACATGTTACATGGGAAATTTGACTGCTTTTTTTTAAAATAACAGAGGATCTGACTATGTATAAATACATAAAAAGAATCACCTACAGGAAATTTTTTTAGAAGTTTAAACAAGGTGAACAACAGGAAAATATCTGATTATTGGCGTGTTAATGCTCGTGTAAGTACATACATGTATATAACATGACTGTGTAAAGCATTGTTTTTCAACTTTTCTCAGAAAAGTTAACTTTGTCCAACTATTAATCTAACAGTTCTAACTTCATACCTTGTTTGTCGCCACTTCTAAAGAGTCCAACCACAGTTGTATTTGTTACTTTATCCAGAGTTGTTTCCCCTTTCCATATAAGATAATTCATTACTTTTTCACTGTCTTTCTCATACAAAGGAGAGGACATATCCAACCTGCAAAGGAAAGTGTAAATTTTCGACTGATTTCTACATTTATGTAATAAAATCTGATAATTAAATTATGACAAAACTGAATAATTCAAGGAACAGCTATCAAAATGATCCGCAGAAACAATTTTTTTTTATTTATCAACCACAAATGTTTTTTCATGCTGAAGAAAAAAAAGATTATTAAGCAGAACATCCTGTTTTTCTGCCAAAATCATATATAAGAAAAGTGAAAAAATACAAATGTCGAACTAAAGCAAAACAAAACAGCCAAGTGACATACTTTTGCCAAAAAGTTTCAATCTCTAATTCCTCACAATATGCACCAGAGTACATTATGACAATCATTCTGTGAATGTTGTATTGTAATGCATAAATAAATGTAGAAGGATTTGTGTATGGAAAAAAAATGGATATGGTAAGTCACCGGCCAGCCAACATTCACCAATATAATATCTTGAGTGTTCTTATGGAAAACTTGGTTATAAAATCATTATGATGATTCATGGTTCTAGGTATATCTTTCTGATCAGTATATACCTATATAAATAAACATGAAAATCCGCAGAAATCTTACAATTTGAAAGTAGAGAAGAAAGCCTGGGTATCTTGTGGTCCTTTATAATCCCAGGCTTTTACACCGTTCTTGAACACCCTCAATGTTGGATAAATTGTTATCTTCTCTTGCTCACAAACATCTGTCCAATCAAAACAGTTTACACTGGCAAATTTCACTGTCGTCTGCTCACCTATCATGTCTGTTGCCTCTCCAAACATACGTAAGTTTCCCACACTTAGAGCATCAACTGGGCATAGGGTAAAACACATTAATACAAATAAAATTAAGTTATAATTTAAATTATTAGAAAAAAAGTACTATGAAAATCCAAAGCATAAAATTTAAGTAGGTAATCAGCATTTCTTTTTTTGACAATCTTGAACAAAAGTATGATAACATGCATAAGGAAGACTTAAGAAAACATTTTTTAACAAAACTGAACTGTAATCTTTTCCTTTTCATGGCAACTTAATAACATTAAACAATACAAGGCAAAAGAGAGTTATGATTTGAAAGGAACTAATTACCACAAAAAACAAACATGTCATTTTGATATAGCATGAACAACTTCTGCTTGCTAAAATAATACACATTAACTCTTTCAGCACTGAAACTAAAATTTACAAGTCCTTTCACATCAGCATAAAGTCAAGTCATTCTGCACAAGTTTGACCAGAATCTGCACTGTTGGCCAAGCAACATCCAAATTTTCATTGAAATATCCAAAAAAATGAAAATAGTTTCAATAAAACGTACATAAAATTACCGCCTTCATTTTCATGACTTGAAATTTATCAACCAAAAAAATGTATAGAATTTTGATCTAGCTTTACAGTCATAAAGAAGCTAAAATGTAAACATACAAGGGAAATACAGCAATATGACAGCTATATCTGATTCCTTCACCATACTTGGGAAAGTTTTATCTGTAAGTGCTGGTACTCTATCAAGCTTCATCTTCCTTCTTTTTGTCTTCTCAACTACGTCTGCTATCTTGTCATCTTGTTTTTCAACTAAAACATTGAAATACAATTTTAAATCTATACAGAATTAAAAGGGACAAATCATCAAAATTCTTCCTTGAACATAACCTGCAAATGTTATAAAAAAAAAGCAGTATAGGTTAATGTAAATTATGGTTGAAATTTTATATGCACATAATGGCCTTCTTCTGACTACATAGCAAACATACTTCACAACATACTGGAAACCAAACAAAGTTCATTATTTGGTCATCAATAGTTGACATTTAATATAGTGTAACCCACATACCATCTTCAAAAGTAAAGGGATTTCCATTATCATTGAAGTCAATATCGTCATCCTCCCCTATCATTATATCATCATCTTCTTCTTCTACTACACTTGGATACACAGGACTGGCTCCCATATTCTCCTCTATAAATCTTCCTATATTCTCTGTAGTCATTGCACCAGGCAGGAAGTGTTCCACAGACTGAATAATAAATAATACATTTATAATACTTACAATATTCAACAATTTTTGTGCTGCACTTGGTGCTAAAATAATTATATTGTAAATAATGTTGATAAATCAATATTATTCAGTTCAAATTACATAACCAAAACTGAAATTGATTATTTGACTGCAAACAGAACTGCAAACTGAACTCAAAATTATTAGGGATCACCTACTACTCATGATCAATTTCCATGCCAAATTGTTAAACAATAGATCAAATTGTTTTCTAGTTTTTGGTTGGACTAGCCTCAAGTGGTACTAGTCAACCTCTATAAAAAATCTAAGGACAATTGACATAAGCATTCCCCAGTTATTGGTTGAACAAGCTTTTAGTAGTCAAGGCCATGTTGATTTTTTAAACTTATGACACAAAAATCAATAGGAGTTACCTCTGGAAATGCCTACATATGAAGTTTCAATGTAGCAGCTTTGTTTGTACAATAAACGCAAACTTGACTAAAATGGCCAACCAACACAGATGCCACACCTACTAATGGGTCATGACAATAGTTCTAAAATTTTTTTAAGTTAATAATGTACTGTTAGATTAAGATACAAACCTCTGCATCATGCACAAAGCTCATTGCTGGAAGGCTTCTAACAAAAAATATTGCTGACCTTGCCTCTTCACGGTCCCTGAAATAATAAAATATAAAATATATTTTATGAATTGTTCACAAGTTGATATAATATAGACTTTATAAATTCAAGCAACTCTATAGATACAACTTACGTCTTTATAAGAACTCTATTTTCAGAAAAAGCATAAAAATAGTAAAACACCATAAAAAGTAAAAATGCAAACTAATCATGCCTTTAACACACTAACATATTTTCAATGTATGGAAGCAACCTTACCTGTTAATGAGCAACACACCTACAGATCCACCGTAATACTTGGTTATCATATGTGCCTTCTGATGAACATCTACCTCAGATGCTGCATTATAGTAAAATCTTATAACAGGTACTTCATAAGATGAGTAAGGGTGATCTAAGCCATCAGCTGGGATATTAAACTAAAATGGAACAAGATGTGTTCATAAAATATCAATGCCATCATTCAATATCAGTCAGTTAACAAATATAAAATCTAAGATTAAATTTTTTTTTATGTCCATGGTACAGGTCATAAGTACTTTTTTTTTATTCTGGTTGGATTTCGAGTTGCAACAACACAATGACACAATGCCTTACATTTACAATTTGATGCTCTTCAGTTATCCAAACTGATCTTGCAAGAATCAGCATTTTATAAATACTGAGCTGATGAGCTTTGCAACCATAGTAATGAAAAAAAAATGTATAACACAGTAATTTATATATTCTATATTAAGAGGGTCTTTATACCATTTTAGGTTTAGTGACTGCACTGACAAACTTGGCTAACGCTTTAAGGTTTAGATCACCACGGTAACGGATGTTATGATAACTGTTGTCATCTGAAGACATTGGCTTAGTCCATACCCACCATACTGTAGAAACATCTTTACTAGTTGGTTGTCTGAAAGTGATAACAATGTTCCTAAATACTAGTAAGTTAATTACAGAGTTCTAAATAAACAGTGATTTAATTGTGAATACTATGCATGTATTTCATATTTGTTTTATACTTTTTAACATGAACTTTTATTGTCAAAGAGTCAGAATGTCTTTTTGTAACTTATTTCTACCTTTGCAAAATTTATATATATATAGTAAAACAAAATATTGGGGCAGAAACATTAAGAGCAACTTCATATTTCTGAAAATACAAAAGTTTTAGTCCTACTTACTCAAATAGTTTTGTTGCTTTTCTATCTGTACATATAACAAACTGTAACTTGTCCATATAAGCATATGCTACCTCCATAAATACACGATGATCTGAAATATTGAATGATTTTGTACAAAACTTTTTTTAAGAGGTTTAAGAGGAATAAAATGCTCAGTCAGCTTCTCCATATATTAAAACAAGAAACATGGCAATGCCACGAAACCAGGTTTTCAATTATCACCACTACTGATAATGTACAGTATAACTTTAAGCATTAAACATTGGGCTCAAAAGTAATCCCATTCCTATTAAGTTATAGACCTGACACCAATTTTCTGTTTTTAAAAACAGTGACCTTTTATTGATCCCAGGGAACCCAAAGCAATTCCAAGCGAAAGCTTAGCATAAGCTTTCTATACACCCAAGATTCATTGAAATATCTCATTCCAAACTGAAGTTATTGACCGGAACCTGATTTTCTATTTTTCTATTTTAAGTAACAATGACCTGGACCCTAAGGGCCCAAAGGAATCATAAGTAAGTCTTTTCATATGCTTAAGTTATTATACACCAAGTTTAATTGAAATATCTTATTCCCTTGAGAATTAAAGGACAAATTGCGCACAGAAGGAATTGTTCACTATATATTCCATATAAGGGAAAAAAAAGGCCATAATAAGGCCAAAAATGATCAAATCACAAAACCCTGACATATGCGCCAGGGCACTTGATGACAAAGCTTCTGTGAAAGTTTTATCAAAATTCCTTGAGAAATGTAAGAGGAGTTGCACACAGACGAAATTGTTCTCTATATATTCTATATAAGGAAACAAGAGCTGTCAGTAGGACAGCAACGCTCGACTATTCTTAGTGCTTGATAGTAAAAAAAAATGCTTGATACAGTTACCTCCTCCTGTTTACAGGTTGGGGTCATGATGGTGAACAAGTGTGCAAAGTTTCAAAGCCATATGTCAATGGACATTGAAAATATTTGAACTATTACAAAAACTTTAACGTAAATTCTAAGTTGAAAAAGGGGCACAATTCTGTCAAAATGCTTGATAGAGTTACCTCCTCCAGTCTACAGGTTGGGGTCATGATGGTGAACAAGTGTGCAAGGTTTCAAAGCCATATGTCAATGGACTTTGAAAATATTTGAACTATTACAAAAACTTTAACGTAAATTCTAAGTTGAAAAAGGGGCACAATTCTGTCAAAATGCTTGAGAGAGTTACCTCCTCCTGTCTACAGGTTGGGGTCATGATGGTGAACAAGTGTGCAAAGTTTCAAAGCCATATGTCAATGGACTTTGAAAATATTTGAACTATTACAAAAACTTTAACGTAAATTCTAAGTCGAAAAAGGGGCATAATTCTGTCAAAATGCTTGATAGAGTTACCTCCTCATGTCTACAGGTTGGGGTCATGATGGTGAACAAGTGTGCAAAGTTTCAAAGCCATATGTCAATGGACTTTGAAAATATTTGAACTATTACAAAAACTTTAACATAAGTGGTTACGCCGACGCCGACGCTCGGGTGACTACAATAGCTCTACTTATTCTTATCGAATAGTCGAGCTAAAAAACAAAGGGCCATAATGAGGTAAAAAATCATCAAATCATAAAACTCTGACAATATGCGCCAGGGCACTTGATGACAAAGCTTCTGTAAAAGTTTTATAAAAATTCCTTGAGAAATGTAGAAGGAGTTGCGTAAAGAAGAAATTGTTTACATATATTCCATATATGGAAAAAAACATAAAGGGCCATAATTAGGTAAACTATAACCAAATCACAAAACCCTGAAAATATGCACCAGGGCACTTAGTGACAAAGCTTCTGTGGAAGTTTTATCAAAATCCCTTGAAGATGTAGGAGGAGTTGCGCAAAGGAGAAATTGTTTACTATATATTCCATATATGGAAAAGAAACAAAGGGCCATAATTAGGCCAAACATTATCAAATCTAAAAACCCTAACAATATGCCCATGGGCACTTAATGAAAAAGCTTCTGTGAGAGTCCCATCAAAATCCCTTGAGAAATGTAGGATAAGTTGTGCATAGAAGAAATTAATTACGCCAGCCCGTCCGTCCGCCGACATATCTCAATCTAATAACCAGTTTTTTCCTTCGGAAAACCATACTTATACAATTATTCTACTGACCTGGGCAGCTAGATATAGCTGAGCCAGGTGGATTTTGTTATTTGTACATGTATTTACAACTTGGCTAACCAAGTTTTAAACTTTAACAGAGACTATACTATAATTATATAATATACCTTTATAACTTACCAAAAGTTCCTATAGCCTTCATGTGACCAAATATGACATCCTTTTTGCCTCTCATTGTTCCTAAAAATCTCTCAACTTCTTTTAGAGTCTGCAGTATAGGTACCTCTCGTAACATAACAAGTCTAAAAACAAATGTTGAAAATTAAAGTTAAGAGGGACAAAGTCATCTACCAAGACATTAACTAGATATGAGTGTGAGTTTTATGTTGCATGAGTGTATATGATTTGTATGTATGGCTGTCTGTTTGCATATGTTATCTAAGTGTTTATGTTGTGTGTGTATACATGTATATGCTGTGTATATTGTTTTAGCGTACATTTTTGTTGTGTGAGTGTGTATGTTGTGTAAGTGTATATGTATATGTTGTGTGGGTGTTTATGTTGAGTGAGTGAAGAGATGAAGTTATGACCGACATATTTGCAGATCCTTACAGTGTCCTTTAAATTTGAAACATCATCTGTCAACATGTGATAAAAATTAAACCTGGCCTTTTTCTTTATACCTCTTAGCAACAACAAACAAATCTGAAAGCTTCACAACTTTGCATTTTGAAAACTAGTGTGAACCTGATTATCTATTGGAATTTCTATTCCTAAATTATAAAACTAACTTGTTGTGGCTGCATGGCCAAGTGGTTAACAATCAAAATAGTTATCTGAGGACCTCTAGCTGTGTGGTATCAGGGGCAAGCCATTGTTTCCATGAGCAAGAAACTTTACACTCTTTGCTCAGTAAATAGTTGGTACTGGGGACAGATTAAAGAGTGTATCTATAAGCTTATAGGTTCCTACAATATCAAACTAAAAATAAATTTTGTGTAAACTAAAGCAAACTCTTATTAATTCATTCTATATAAGAATTAAAAAGTAGTAGGAAGAAGACTTACTGTAGAATGTTTGACATTATAGAGTTCACATCAAACATTGTTTCAAGTTCCAATGATAACAATAGTGATCCTGACCTGAAATGTATAACAGCGATACTAACTTGAAATGTATAAGCATATAAGCACTTTATGCATTTATTTTTGTGGTGCAAAGTTTTAATAAAAGAAAAGAAAAGAAATAGAAAGAAAATTATTGATATATGATATATGTACCTGAATGTATGAACACTGTTTTCTATTGCAGGTTTCTTACAGTGTGACACGTCTTTACTGAGTTCCTCTGTACAGTTACACTGAGATATACAAATATGTTAAAATAATTCACAGTGATAAAATATGTTTACAATTTATTATATTAATCTTATAGGAGTTAATCAATTAATTTCAAAGTAAGTAAGAAATATTAAAGTAAGATGTATAGCCATAAATAAGTTATAAAGAACAGAAGGGGGTTGTGGGAGGGCTCTCAGACTGAGAGGTTAAGGGCAGTGAATTCCAATCACTTGCTCTACATTGCCACAGTCCGGTATCCTGCCAGGGCCTATGAATGTTTTCATCTAAAGAAGCTATCAAGCTAGGTGACGGGAAGTTGGTGGTTCTACTCAGATGCCCACTCATACCTGAAATAATGCACAAATCACCTGAAATCTTCCTCCATCAATAAAGCTGGAAATAGGACATATGACCGTTACAGTGTTGATGTAACTGCAACCAAATAAATAAAAATTCAATGTATTCATTAATTTTAAAATCAAATAAAAAAGACTAAATCATAAGACTTTGGCTATTGTATTACATCAACTATTTGCAAGCCAAGAAACACATAATATGCACTTACAAATCCAGTTTTAACACTGTACATTTCTAAAAACTCTGCTGACTTTTCAAGTTCTCGGATAAAGAATTTAAGGAATTTCACATCTGAAAAAAAGGAGATTAAATAATTATGCTTGTATTTCTTTAGGTGTTTTTATTTAAAATACAAATTAAAAATCAGATTATTTAAGTTAAAGGAGATTAGGGAAACTCATCTGCTGTACAGAAATAATTTGTTTTTCATACTCTTGTGGGTGCAAGTTCAAATGTCTGAAAACCTAGAAACCCTGAATTTAGAATTACCTTTTTTTTAGCAAAGGGTGCTTTCAGGAGTATAAAGATCTGAAATTCAAGGAAAAGACTAAAAACTTATGCCCATGTCATGTACTCTTCAACTTATTGATTTTAACAAACATTTATAACAGGGTTAACAGTACCAATGTCTCTTGCAAAGTTTTTCTAAAATCCTTTGATGAAAGACAATTTCGGACTGGACATGAAATATACCCTCAATTAAACAATTTTGACCTTTGATCTCTTGACCTTGGAGGCAGGATGGATGGAAGCCCATTTCTATATTCCCCTAACAGATGAAGCAACATACAATAATAATACAATTAATAGCTTATAGCCTTAACATTCATTACATGACAGCTACCCTTTGACATTTGAAGCATTTGTTTCCAACATGTTTGATATATAAACCTAATATACTACAACATAACTTCAAATATATAACAGTTTACACTTTGAATTTACTAGAACTTAATTTTTCAGTATACAGAAGACACTGGCATTTAATTTTTCTGCCTAGATTTTGTGCTGTGATATTTTAAAACTGTACAGATCAACAAGTCAATGTGGCAATTAATTTTGAAAATAATCTTGATCTCAGATACATGTATAAGAGGAATACCTTTAGCAAAACAAAAATACAAAATCAAATTCTTTAAAGATTTTAATACTAAGAAAAAGAAACTTGGAAATACCTTTCTTGTAAAAGTATATGACACGAAGTTGATCATTTTGTAAGAATTTCTGGACAGCACTCTGACCACGCAGTTGTTGTATTTTATTAGTTGTGAAATCTATTTTGAGACTCTGACATACGCTGAACAGAATGCAAGACAAGAAAACCAACTTCATTATTTCCTGTGAATATAATAAATATAATTTGTTGTATTATATTATAGTTGGCATAATTTTCTTTCAAATTTTATTGATATGATTCAAACAAGATCCTCACATTAAATTAAACAGTCTAAATATAAATTTGATACACTGACTCTTGAGTCTTGATTGGCAAATTGTTTGACAAGAGGCCTAAGTGGTCTTCTTTAACTTATCTGAGTATTTAAAGTAGAGAAATAAATAAAAATGTTTCTATAGTATAATAATACATCTATCTCATAAGTGCTATGCTTATAGGCAGGAAATAAGTGCTCATCAGATAGTTGAAGAAGATATGTCCAGACATTGTAAGCATGACAGGAAAGGAGAGTACCTATCATAAAAGTAGAGGTTATTACATGGGGCAAGTGTGCCTTTAGTCCATATTGGCACACATGTTGACTTATTTAACCGAGGGCTTTAGCCCGTGGGTAAATTTGAACCAAGTGTGCCAATATGGAGTCAGACTAAAAGCACACTTACCCCATGTAATGACCTGTTTATTGCATATGTTCCGCAGCAGACTGGAATAAAATCAAGCAATAACGTAATTATTCTTGTTCTAATATATACTCGGTTCCAAAAGAAAGTGTGCACTTTTTAATGTTGAATATTTAAAAAATTAGCAGACGCTTCTTTTGCAAATTTGGCATTGTTAGTCCTAAGTACACAATACATCGATCCAATATAAAACCCACCTGTGCTGGCACGGTATTTTCGCTTTATTTGGCAATACATAATATAGCATGATTTGCATGTGCAGTCCAAGGCGAAGGTACATGTCACAAGAAATGTGTATAGACATAATCCTTATATCCACTACATAGGGAAAAACACATTTAATTTCACAGCGCTTGTCACTGAACATGCCTAGACTGAATCAAAATTTGCAAATTCAAGCATTAACGATGCTTGCTCGTGGCGACAACGTTTCCAACGTCAGTAGAGCGTTCGGTTGTCACAGAAACAAAATATTTCGGTTGCACCAGTGTTTCCAGCAAACAGGTGGGGTAGCAGATCGCCTTAGACCCGGTAGACCGAGGGATACAAACCCTCGAACGGACAGGTTCATTACGTTGACGCACCTTTGACGTCGTTTTCTAACAACGACAAGTTCTGCAAAGTAGTAAGGTATCAGCAAACAGACAGTGTTGCGCTGCCTCAGGCAACCCCAGCAACCCAATCAGCCAAGGAGGCCCTATGTGAAACAAGTGCTTGCATCACGTCATCGGGCTGCCCATTTGCAGTGGGCACAACGGCATTTTGATTGGGGGCGACAGCAGTGGGCTCGGTTCTATTCTCGGATGAGTCTAGGTTTAACCTTAGTCATCATGACAGTCGAATTCGAGTTTTTAAAAGAAGAGGGGAATTTTTTGCTGATAATTGTCTCATTGTGAGGGACCAATTTAGAGGTGGGAGTGTTATGGTATGGGGTTGCATTATGGGTAGAAGGAAAACAAATCTCAATGTTGTGCAAGGCAACCTAAATGCTCAAGGTTACATTAACCAGATTCTGCAGCCTGGAACTGTTCCTTTCCTTCAAAGGCATAAAACTGCAATATTGATGCATGATAATGCAAGGTCTCATGTTGCAAGGATATGTCGGCAGTTTCTAAACAGAAATAACGTTAACGTACTACCTTGGCCCGCCATGTCAGTGATGTCACCGGATATGAATCCGATTGAGCACATCTGGGAATATCTTGGTAGAAAGATTCAAGCTAGAGGGAACATACACAATCTTATGGATCTGGAAAACACCTTAATTCAAGAATGGAATAACTTTCCCAGCGTCGTTATCAGACGTTACGTAAGGTCAATGCGAGGTTGCCTTGCTGCTTGCATCAATAGTCAAGGTGGCCACACTCGAAACTGACTACAGTTAACATCGAATTTCCAATTTCAGCAGAATGAAATGATGAATTGTGGAAATTGCTAATTTCAGAGTAGTCTTGCATCTTTCATTTTCGGACCTAGTCCATTCTCCAGACAAAATCGTATCCTTATGACACCGGAATTTAAAGTCAAGATTATAATGTACATGTTCTGATCTGGATACCAAATACGTGGACATTAAGCATAATGGGCAATGGAAAATCGCTGAAAACAAAGCGCACACTTTTTTGGAACCTAGTATATTTATTAATTGGCTGTCCGTGTTGTTTGATTATATTATCTAAATCCATCAAGCGATTCGCTAAAGATTTCAACATCCTTTCGATGGCCATTTTTTGTTGCGATGCGGTTGTCAGTTATGTAATGTGTATATGCGCAGACGTTCTGTCATAACTGTAAAACAGGTGCGTGATAACCGGAAATAACCTCAACATGGGATTTTGGCACACTTAGCAACTGCACCAATATGGCTTATTGGCACACTTGCTCAAATATGGGATTTTTGCATGTCTGACATATTCAGAAAAAAGAAACGCATTTTTATTACTAATTATAGTAACATATGCAATAAGTTACAATAATATTCAATTTGTAATATAATAAAGCTCCAAGTCAATGCAAATTGTATGTTCTCTGTAATATCTATTACAGATTCAAGAAAAAACTTCAATTTAGGCTAGCATATTCATGTCATGGTTAACTAACTTGAGGTAAAAATATGCTCAGTCAGTAAAACTAAAAGACAGTTTTCAATTTCTAGTCCTATAAATATGACATTTCTCTGAGGTGTTTTTACTTCTTGGCAAGCAACAAATGTCAGGCATCATATACTATAACAATCCTGTAACATCTGTTATATTGGCCTATTAAAGAGGCTGCCAGGTCAGGCTTCATATTTTCTTACCTCTCATAATATTTCAATTAAAAGAACTTCATAGTGTTCCTAATGACTTTTTCATTAGAAAAGTATTGACTCACACCAACTGAATATTTCTATTTATACATTTATTATTTATGTATTAGGGTAGACTTCTACAATTGAATTATGGTGGTTTCGTCTAACTACCGGTTCGGCTAACTTAATTTATGAAGAGGTGCGAAAGTGGTTTCGTCTAACAGATGTTATATAGTAATTAAAGGCAAAGTAGACGTGGGCATCTTACAGAAACCCGAACTTCTTACCAGGGCAGCAAATCTACACAGACAGAAACTGAGACCAAGTGAACCAACAGATCTGGAATTTGACGTAAGATTTATAGTTGTAATCAATATATATATAATCATACATTAATAATATATATTAATAATCATAATCAGCATTTATTTCACATACAAAATACGGCAAATTTAAATAGCGTTTTTGCTTATATACGGCAAGTTCGAGATTTTATAACATATAGCATATAAATCTCAATATGAATTACATTCATATTAGTAAAATTAATTATGTATTGAAAGAACGACAAATCATCATTGTGCTTTAAATACATTTATTAATTATTTGTATTATTAACAGTTATGAATGTCATACATTTCAGCTCGACCACGACTTCATCGGAGAAGACTTTATAGTTGACGATATCCGGGTTGGTGATCAGCGACATATCATGTGTGCGACAGCGGACCAGTTACAGATTCTGAAACAAGCGACGCGTTGGTTTATAGATGGGACGTTCAAGCTGGTGAAGAGGCCATTCTATCAACTGATGTCTATTCATGCCTTCGTGAGGAAAGATGACAGCGCCAAACAGGTACCATTGGTGTATGTACTGATGTCAAGAAGATCAAAAGAAGACTACGTCGCCGTTCTGACCAGCCTCCCCCGAATATTAGGACAGCCACAAGTCCAGTGGTTCATGTTGGATTTTGAAGCAGGTATGTATTCTCTTAATAAAGAATATAAGTAATAAAAAAATTGCTGCATTTCAATTAACTTATGATTTTAATTAAAAAATTAAAATTTATCATTTTATTTTTCAGCTGCTTGGCAAGCAATCAGACATGTGTTCCCCAGTTGTGTACTGAAAGGATGTGTCTTCCACTGGAACCAGAGGCTGTATCGGAAGATCCAGGCGGAAGGTCTTGCCACCTCATATCAAGATAAGCAGGACAAACATGAATTTCTCCGTAAGGTCATGTCCCTGCCTTTTCTTCCTAGTGAGCAGATCCCGCCTGCCTTCCGACAGCTGATGGCCCAGGCTATGGAAGTTGGTGGACCAATATTGGCTGTGATGGAGTACGTGGAGAGGACGTGGATCAACGGTAGTTTGTGGCAGCCGATTCACTGGAGTGTATTCCGTGAGACCGTTCGGACGAACAACGACGTTGAAGGTAAGATCCTGAAACAATTATAATACAATATATTAATATATTAGTAAATGTCTATTTGTGAATTTTGATATATTTTGATATATTTCTAAATAAAAAATTATAGGAAATTATTTTTGAAATCATTGACGTTGTATGTTTACTAAATCAACTTTACATTTATTTCGACATTATTCATTACAGGATGGCCACAGAAGGATCAACACACGAGCAGGACGTGCGGACTTGGGATTATACATGTTACTACCATTATTGAAGAGGGAGGCTGAGGTTGTTGATCTTCAAATTCGTCTAGTTTCGCAGCATCTCTTGACAAGATTACATCGTAAAAGATACGCCCGAATCCATGGAGCCTTATTCGACGCCTGGGACAAGTACGAAGATGATGAGATGACGACTTCCCAACTACTAAGACTGTGCAGCCACATTACCGGAATAGGATCCAACAACATCAACGACGGGATTTATGAGGACGATTTTTAAGTGTTTATATATATAAAAAAGTGATGAATAAAGAATAAAAAATTATTGCTTAATACTACGTAAAAGCCATGGTGTATACTCTGTAATACTATGCATGATTATAAAGAGATGAATAAAGAATTTAAAAAATATGCGTTGCTTATTACTACAATAATAATGGTATAAATTTTACCTTTTGTGAATATAGGTTGACATTAGTAAAAATATGTTTTACAGGTTGTATAAATGTGTATATATTTGTGTAAATTTTATAAATTATTCTTTTTTTCAGGTTTTACTTTCGTATATACGTATATATATATTTATTCATGTATATGTAAATATAATAAAACGTTTAAATCATAGTTTTATATCTATTGAGTGGTGAATAAAGAATTAAAACAGATTGTTGTTTATTACATAGAAATCATGACGTATTCTTTTTGAATAATATGCATACCTCATATTTGTTTATATAGAGAAAATAAAGTATTAAAAAATATGTGTTATTTATAATAATTACGTACGTGGATTTTTTATGTATTTATGCATTGTTATTAATTCTTTCTCTTTCGAGCTTTGTTTTTTTTAGTATATATGTCGATTTTATTCGATTAAGGCATTTTTTTCAGCTTTAACTATTTGTGTATATATAGTTTAACATAGATTATAAAAATAAACTTATGTGAAATGTAATTTGTGTTGACTCTTTAGTTTTTTTTTCAGGTTGTACATATAAACGTATATATATTTCTATGATGTTGTTTATTCACTGAGATCTTTGTGTTATTATTTATGTAAATATCATTATTATACTAAAGAAAAGAATAAAAAAATATGTTTAAATTTTCAATTTTTCTTGTCTTTAATTGCATGAAAATGTGTGATAAACCACACATTAAAACCCGCGATAATTAATGTGCCCATTATACAATAGCTTATTGTTCACTATATAAATTAAGTTAGCCGAAACCACTACCTGTTTTACTATATAAGATCAGTTAGACGAACCGGTAGTTAGACGAAACCACTCCCACCCCTACAATTTATCATAACATTTTTGTACAATTTGTTTTACTTTTAAATTAACACTGATTAAAACATTAAGAAAGTAAAAATGCTTTCATGGTATTATTATTTTTTCCTGTAAAATCGCCCCCTCTAAGGTGTTTATAAAAACACTACATTTTAGCTGATTACAGAGGAAAATGCTAATGAATGATTCTGGATGTCAGTAAAAATATTCAAAATTGAATATCCGAATCAGAGGCTACTTACTGATTTATCGCTTAGGATCTGGAAATATTCACAATGTTACAATAATGTGTCCTCTGAATAAAGTTCAAAACATGAACCGAATATCAGCATTACAACAAAATATGTTAGAAGACTAGCATTTGCGAGTAAAATATTGATTTATTTGCATCCTAGTTATGAAGTAAAATACAATGTGTTGAAATTACAGGGAAACCCCCAAATAAATTTTAATTTTTTCTGCAAAAAAAGGGAAGTTTAATATAGTTGTTTTCAGCCAATCCGGAAAAAATTTTGGGAACATAAATAAACGGACAGGAAAACTTTAAATTAAAATAATACAATAAACACAAAGGTGCTAAATAAAGACTTTATTCTAAACCAGTTACATGTATGCTTTTGCATGGTATCATTTCAACAGTCTAATTGAACCCAGTGGTACTTATCCAATACCGGTATATATTTAGTTTTGCTGATTTATTTTAGTTTGATTGTGTTGGAAGCTATATGCATACTGAAACACTCTCGAATCTGTGCCTGGAACCAACCAGTACTAAGCAATGAGTGTAAAGTATCTTGCTCATGGAAACAACGGCTTACCCGTGACAGGGATTGAACCCATGGGGCCATCCTTAATATATATTTGAATCATGTACAATCAAATGCTTGCCTTTATGTAAAAAGGTCATCATTATCTAAAGGCTAAATCTGTACCAAATGGATGTTAAAAGTCATAATAGAACAGAGCAATATTGTAAGTTGTTTTCTGTCATGAAAAGGGGATATCCATAGCCAATAACATAATTTATGTTCCTGATTGCAGGTTGAAGTGGGAGCAATAAATAAAGCAAATATAGTTTACATTGTTCCATGTGTTTATTTTATCAGTCATGTAACTATAGTACAGCTACAGTCTACATAGAGACCTGATCATAACAAATACGTTTAAACAATAGTGAAACATAAGCTAAAGAAAACAACATACGCTATATACAATCAACTATCTGTTAACAAAATAAGATCAAATATTAATACAGAAATAATAAAACTCCTCTAACTCTGACACATAATTTTAACATCAAAATATATATAGTATATAACATACATACATGTAGATTAAAATGAATAGCTCTTACAGTCTTTCATGTATAACATTTCTGAAATAAGATACAAATAAATATAAAGATATTACATGAAAAACAAAAGTTATAGTTTACATTAATGTTAATGGTTTCTATTTCCTGTTAAAAAGAAAACAATTTTTTACAAGATTTTACCGTCTAAGTTAAACAATTTAATTTTTTTTAAAGATTTTAACTTAAAACTGACATTGTCAAGGTGACATGGCACCTTGTAGAGAAAGAACTTGGATACTCATCCATGCCTCATTTAAAGCACAAAAGTATTTTCACGTGGAGCCTTGACAAAATGTAAAACCAATGCATAGGTAAATCCATAACCCTATCTCATTATTGAAAAAAAAATATTTTTTTTCAATTACAAACAGAATATTTACTGTTTTAGAAATAGAAGATTTTTTTTTAAAGTTCTTCTGTTTTATACAATGGACTATAAATATGGAAAAAAAATCATGTAAATGAAGAAAACTCACTAACCATATATTTATCCATTTTCTCAACAATAAAAAAGCAGCAAATTTTCAATTTCCACTGGAAATGTCATTATGAAATTCAAATAAATAAGTAAGTGCTCAAAAAGGAATGACAAATTATTCTTAATTTTTATGATTATTTCTTCACTGCACTACAACTAAAGGTCTAAAAAAATTGGACATTAGCAACCATGAAAAGTTATTATATATATATAGGCCAGTGAACTTCTGGATGAGCATAAAAGTAGGAAATGCATTAATCATATAAACCAGTAAACTCGGACAAAATATTTATCAATAATAATGACAGGCAGTTTAATTTGTGAAAGTTTTATATAAAAACAAATACTAGTGAAAACACTAATTATCAAACAATAATATATATATAAAAAAATCCTAAATTACCTCTTGATAAAAGAAATTGATCTACTATTGTTAAATAAATTAAAATTTTAACAGACAATTACCAAAAACAAAAAAATGAAAAAAAAAAAATTGAATTGTCTTTCATATTGTTTACATTGTTTTAATACATGTAACAGACAACAGACAGAATGAGATATATGCACTTTTACTTGTAAACTTGAAAGACAATATATAGCCCTTATTCATTAAAAAAACTGCCATGCATACTAATAAACTTCTATATACGAATGTAGACAATATTTACATTGAAATAAACTTTCAATAAATTACTATTTGGAATTATACAATTAGTAAAATTGAAGCATGAAATAATACATAAACAACATGCATAATGTAAGTGAAATACAGAATTACACCTTCATTTAAACATACTTTTTCTCTCATGTGTTATACAAATGTTCCAATCATTTTCTAGAAATAAAATGACCTTAGGTACTAACAAGCATGGGAAAATGGTCCAGTTCTGGCAGTATACAATTTTCATATTTTCATTTAAGCATTCTGAAGATTTAAACACTTGCATGGCCTCTTTTTTTTCACAAACTCTAACTAAACTTACCAAATACCGTATTAGGAACCTAGGATTATACAAAGATGGCGTATTTACATTACCGACCTAGTCTGCCTTTTTTGTTTTCTGTACACTTCATAGTAACGTAATATTTGTTCTCAGACTTATTATAAAATTACAAATGATCCCATCGCTTGATTTAACTTGCACTCTAATCACAATAAAAATAAAGTTATCTTTAAATTGAATTAAGGATAATTCAGATCAGAGGCAACTGATAACTTTACTGTGGAAATATGTTAGTTCCAGTATTAAATACAGCTATGAAATATTCTCTGAACAAGGTATAGAAAGAGCAAATAAGCAACATTGTTATTTTTGTAAACAAGCCTGGTGCAGTGACATTTATTACCTAGTGTAGATACTACAGTTGACACAAACAGACAGTACAAACAGCATGCATTCTAGTGTTATAACATCACAGTTTGTATATTGTTTGGCAACCAGTCTTCTGTTATAACATCACAGTTTGTATAATGTTTGGCAACCAGTCTTCTGTTATAACATCACAGTTAACAGTCAATAATCACAGATAGTGCTGCCGTATGTCAGCAATTTGCAGTCGATGCAATTCCATTAATGTCCGAGTCAGAAACTAGTGAGCTAAGATTTTGTGCCAGCATAGAGTTAGCATTGTTATCAGCTGGAACTATCTGTGGTGAGTCTTTACTTCCTGATGCCCCTGACTGGTCCGTGCTGTAATGCTTGCCTTTAGGGTCTATGTCTCCTTTTTCAACATCTTCAAGACCTTCAGGGGGCTTCATCTTGGAAAATTCTTCTCGTAACTGGTTGTAATGTTTCTGAAGTGATCAAATATATCAAAATAACACTGACTGTTTACATGACAGATTGTAATGCTTGTTCATACATACAATATATAAACACACAGAAAGTTGTGTAAACTAAACAAAATCAATCAGAAATCTTTACGAAATGCTAAATAATATTACTCTACCATTTAGTCTTTATTCTTCTTTAGAACATTTCTATGCTTACATAGCATATATAATTTAGTTATATAACATACCTTAAGTGCCATTGTACTATGAGATATTGTTCTTCCAGTCCTCTTATCATTACAATAAATCTCCATCTCGGCAATCCATTCCTCACATTGCCGTAAGATCTTGTGGCGTTTCAACCAGAAATGTTTCACTACTACATCCTTGAAACATGGTGGTGGACATTTGATCTGTTCAAGTATTGCCCACTTCACTGTGGCCTGTCTAATATTGGCATCATATTCTCTAGAACTGGCATTACCAGATGGTGTACCACGTGACCTCTCATAACCTGGCTCATTAAAGTATGGCTCACACACCAAGATTAGTGACTGGATAGAAACTAACACCTGAAAATTATAGTTAAATATACAATCATATCCATCATTGTAACTGTTATAATCTGAAGTAGTCATCATAATCTGTTAGTGTGTAGATTATTAAACCTAATTCTTTTTTTAAAATAATATAGTTTAATCATATACTGTCCTCGACTAATTCTTTTTTTATAATAATATAGTTTAATCATATACTGTACTTAACTATCAATTAATGAGTTGTGTTTTATCAAAACAATCCGATTTCAGTATTCATAGGGCTGGGAAATTTATTTGAATATCAAAAACACTATCAAAGAATAACAGTTGAATGCAAGCTTATAAAGATAATAACTTTGTAAAGGTATCAATAAATTCACTAGTCATCATTAAACTTTTTTCATCATAATTGGACATCCACTTTGATGCATTGTATACAAGTTTTTAAAGTATTAAAAAAGCACAATAATAATTTACCTGTAAAAAGCTCGATGTTTGAGAGCTCCATTTTTCCTCTGGTCTACCATGCCAGGTGTTCAACACACTTAAACAAACCTATAAAATCAATTCAATATTTAATATTTTCAACACTCCTAAACTATGACATTACTAGGACAATACTACAAAATTATGCTAATGCTTTTATTTCTTTATACTTTATAATGAAATATGTCATACTTATTGAACTCATTCTTGTGGGATTTTTAAAATGAATATTGCCACATAGTCTGTATTTCTTGTAAACAATACTAAATTTGTATACTCAACTTTCTCTGCTTTTAATGAATTTTCCATTATAAATGTGTGGCAGTTTTGAAATGAAAATTTTAAAATGAAGCAGCAAGTCTGTTCAGACTACACTAACTGTTCTTTATTTGTGACATAGACAAATTTATGGCTAGAAACACACAATATATTCTTACAAAGTATAATCTATGTTAGAGACTGTGATCAATTGATTGATTGGGTTTTAAGTCACATAAACAGAATAATGGCAACTTTCCAATTTTATTGGTGGAAGCAGACCTAAGGTGCCCCTTATGCATTATTTCAGGCACAAGCAGGCACCTCAGTAGAACCACAGACATTCCATGTATACCCTAGCTTCAAAGCTTCCTGAAGGAATCCAAAGTCCCTAGCAGCATTCAAAACTATATAGTGATAAAGACAACATTCAGTTAACTATACCTTTCCATCATTGTATAGATTAGGGTTAAATCTGACAGTATGGTTTCCAGTGGTCTCTAGGTTAATGTATGGTGGAGCATTTGGGTAATCTTGTGGAAAATAAACATCAAATTCAAAACATCCATTAGCATAGGGAGTATCTTCTGGTCCAGTTATCAAAACCTGCGAAAATGCAATGAGATTATAACAATCATCTAAAATAAAACAAGGCAATGGAGTCCCTAAAACCTACACATTTGCCAATATATCAATCAATAACTCAAAAATCATGCAAGGTAGAGTTATCATTCTTGTGCACTGCACTCCTCCTCAATGAGGTCTATCCACCTATGAAGTTTCAAGTTGATAACTCAAATACTTTTAGAGATATGCTCCGGACAAAAATGTCGGACGGAAGGACGGACGGACAGACGGAAGGTCGGACGGACGGACGGAGACTATTTCTATATCCTCCGCCGAAATTTTTCGGCGGGGGATAATAAACATAGGTTGTATGAACCAGTGTAAAAATCTATTATCAGCATAGATGACCTTGATCCTTCTGGACAAAGTTAAGAGGACCATCCAACGTATCTATATACTTGAGAAAAACATCAGTAAATAAATAAATAAATGTTTAATGAATACATGTATTGTATAAATCTACTTTAGCACATGTGAAACTGACTTTCCATTAAAAAGTAAATTACTTAAGAGTTAAACATGTAAAACAAGCAATTATCATAGTATTGCAAGCAATCCATAAGTCCCCTACCGGTAAGAGCCCAAGCAACATTCTGAAGGGCCATTGGCCATTCACTTAGGTTCCTATTTTAAGTAAATTTGTTGAAAAAGTTCTTTAAAAGTGATCACAGGAAATAGTTTTTATGTACAGACAGACTGAAAGACACTATAAAGTTATTTTTTTAAACATCCCTGTTATCAAAAATATAACATTTTTTAAAATCCTATCATGATTGAAGAAGTTGGAGTAAAAATTACCAATTTCTCAAAAAAAATGTCTAAGTTCAAAAGGGGCATAATTCTGGAAATAGTCTTGCTAGAGTATTGAACACTCACAAATGTTTGAGTGACAATAAGAAACATTTATATGAAGTTTGAAGTAGATACATTCAGAAAAAAGAAGTTATTAAAAAAAAACAATGTTTTTTTCATGAAAATTTCAAGTTCAAGGGAGGTAATTCTGATAAATTTTGTGCTAGAGTTGTAAACCTTGTCACATATGATGTGGTTGATGACAAGCAACTTATATTTAAAGTTTGAAGAAAATACCTTAAGAAATAAAGAACTTATAGTGGAAAAAACTTAAAAACTAGAATCAGAAATCTTGAAATTCAGTCTATTTGTGGCCATAGCAACCAGAATTTTCAGGATGTGAATAATTTCCATACTGCCATCTACCCATATGTCAAGTTTCATAAACATATTTTCAGTACTTTTTGTGTTATAACTGGATTCAGGTTATGTGTAAAATTTGCCATATTTTCAGTCTATTTGTTGCCATAGCAACCAGAAGTTTCAACATAGGAAGAAAAAGAAAAAGACGTGCATAATCTCCATACTGCCATCTATCCATATATCAAGTTTCATAAAAATATTTTCAGTACTTTTTGCGTTATCGCGGGATCCAGTTTATGTGTAAAATTTGTCATATTTTCAGTCTATTTGTTGCCATAGCAACCAGAATTTTCAACATAGGAAGAAAAGAAAAAGACGTGCATAATCTCCATACTGCCATCTATCCATATATCAAGTTTCATTAAAATATTTTCAGTACTTTTTGCGTTATCGCGGGATCCAGTTTTGTGGACGGACGGACTGACGGACGGACAGACGGACTGACGGACGGACAGACGGACGGAGGGTAAACCTAAAGTCCCCTCCGGTAAACCGGTAGGGGACTAATAAAAGTTTTAACAAGAATGCACAATTTCTTTTTTTAATTTGATATATTATAACTTAATCTGTTATGCATATGACACATTTATGAAATGTAAAGACAATGGAGTAGTCCAGAGACTTACTTGAGCATTACCAATAACTACTCATCAACTTTATTTTCCACATACATGTATTTCACTGCTACAAATAAACAGTACCATACTGAATATGTCAAGGAATGAAATCTAAATTCCTACCTTCATGATATCTAGTCTTTCCTCATCACAGCGAACAAATACACTACTGCTGACAGAGAGAGGGAGGGATGTTGATAAAGTTACCGCCTCCTGGGCTAGACGTCGTATCCTAGTTGGGTTATTTATTTCTCCTGCAGCTTTTACATTGTTCTCATAGTGATGCCTAACTGTAAACTTTATTGTCGGCCCTTCTTCTGTCACCATTTCATACTGATCTGTTGATTTTATTAAAAATCAGTCATATTTTTCACATATTTATGAAAACATACATATATAAATTTTGCTAAATGCAAAGCTGGGAAAATGAAATTAGTTTTCTTTTATCATTTTAATTTACATCTATTGCATTTCCAAAAAAACTTTTAAAAAAAATTGTTTAAAAAGCTACAATTAATTTTTTAAAAAAACATATTTCACTAAAAACTAGCATACACAAAAAAACTTTTTTTACTATATTGCTTTTTTAATTAATTTATAATGTAGACAAAAACAACCCCTTAAAAAAAATTAAAAGCATATGCACAGCATAAAGGACTGTGTTTTTACAGAATAAACAAGAACTAACCAAACTGTAGTTTCTGCATCTCTGAGAGGTAGATTTGATCAATGCTATCCTGTGATGTATCCCGCTTCATTTCCTGGTCAATCTCACTGTTCTCCTCACCTGTTCCTATATACAAAAACATGAGACTTCTTTTATATTCTATAAACTCAAATATATGGGCATGTGTAGCCAATTAAACGTTTAAGGTTGCTTAGGAATATCACTTGCCAATAAACAACACTTATCAATGTTGAATGTTTTAGATTAAAGGAAGCTATCCAGCTTTCTTGCAGAGCTTTCTTAAAGCAAATGACAGCTCAAGTCTGCTTTCATGCAGTAGCAGGAATTTTCATCTTCTTACACCATTTAAGCTGAAAAGTCAATTCATCTTATACATTCTCAAACCACCTAGCCTAATATCACATTGTAGTTTCAAATAATCATCATTTCTGAAAATTCTTTGTTTAATTGTCATTTATTTTGTCTTTTTGTTCTTGTTAGTTTTTTAAAATGCAATACTCAACATATAAATTTTTTTCTTTAGTTTACAGTGAAAATATATGGAATATGGTTAAGTACAACATACCTTCATGTTCTTTAAGTCTACTAGTGGCTGTATGAACTATTCTAGCTGTCTCTTGTATATCAGGTATCAACATAGCAAGTCCTTCATTTTCCTCCTCCTCTTCCTTGGTGCCACCTATCTTACCTTTGTTTGATCTATAATTATAATATATAACATATTATAAAATGATACATATGACACCAATATCTTGCAAAAAATGCCTGAATGCCTAAATATTCCAGTCTAACTTTATACTGTGCCTTGCTCAATACTGAAATCATTTAAACTTACAATGAATAGTTCGAAAATATAAAAGAACAAATCCATTGCATTACTTCAGTAGCATAAATGGTAATTAATTAGGCAACTATTAAGAAAAGTTCTTCTACAATTGTTGTTAGCAACTTTTTTTTAAGTTTTACTTCTCTCAATAACAAGATTGACCTTTAAACTTCACTTATAATGTAATACCTCAGGAAGCTAAACATTTCTTAAAGAAATACAAACATATATGAATAAAATCTAACAATATGAAATTATTTATTGTATGGAAAGAAGCAATAATGAATGTATAACATATTGTTACACTTCTGGTACTAAAAGTGATTAGACTTTGCAACCAGCACAGAATCAGTCCAGTATGCTTAATTGTGCAGTCCAACCAGGCTCTACACTGTTGGTAGCTCATTTAAAAAATAAAATAAAATTGATATTGAAATCCCTTAGCTTATTTCAAATTTCAAAACTGGCTAAATCTATTTCTCAAATTCAGCATATCTTCAGTATATAATCTTACTTGAGTCTACTGGCATATGTATCAACACATGCTCTCATCTTCTCCAGTAGTTCACCTACAGCTGTAGCTGTCTCCCCACCATTCTCCTTGTCTAGAGGTAACAGTAACATAACCAGTGATGGACACACTGAAATACCTCGTAGTAACTGTAGTAATGCTCTATACAGAGGTACATGCCTGTAATATATAACGTTACAAGTTTTATATGTTTCATATCACCCTAATCAACTTAAGACATACAAACATAGCTTCAAATGCATAGATCGTTTATCAAAAGCCCGGTTTGTAAATTATGTTTTTGGATTTTAAGTCATATCGACATTGTAAAGGTCATACCGCAACCTTCCAGCAGGGTTATTTACTTAATTTATTTAATCTTAGAATCGACAGCAACACAATTTTTAAATAACTTACTGCTTACTACTCATTAGATATTTGCTTGGCTAAACATTGCTTTACATTAGTTATATATCTAATTTTAAGTATTTCATAAAATCAATTACAAAGAATGCATGCATCTTCACTATAACATAACAATGCAACATATAAAACTTATAGAAAATTAATACAGATTACCGGAATTTATAAACAACTAGAACTATCGCTGAATGCGATTCATACCCCCACCAATGTCCTTGACAGAAGACAACTTGGAAAGGTGGTTAAGGGAATAACTTAAGTGACACAAATACATAAAAAGAAATTATCTCTGGTGAAAAAAAGACTAATTGTACAGGTAATAGTAAAAATATCTATTATCAAATCATGTTCGAAACAGTTTACAAATAACCTTTCATTTTCCCAATATACTAAACTTTTATAAGTCAATTTTTGACTTCAAGTGTGGCCTTGACCTTCAGCTGGCACAAGGGTAAGATGGGTTCTGCACATCCCCCAATTGGAGTGAACATTTGAGTAAAGTTTGAAGAAAATCCTTCCATTAGTATAGAATTTATAGAGCGGACACAACATATTGTCTAGTATTGATTGTATGTAAATTTAAAGACTTAAAAAGGGGCATAACTTTGTCAAAATCCAATACAGAGTTATGAAACTTGACCTGCATATCGTAATTGTGACACCTCATATATCTTTTCAAGTTTCAAGCAAATACCTATGCTAGTTTCCGGAATATTAAAGAACATGTTTTAATCTAAGAACATTTTCCAAGTCAATTTTTGACCTTCAAGTCTGACCTTGACCTTTAGCCTGCACAAAGGTGACATGGATTCTGCACATAACCTTGTTTAGGTGAACATTTGGAGAAAAGTTTAAAGAAAATTCTTCCATTAGTATAGATTTATAGAGCGGACACAACATATTGTCTAATATGTGAATTGTATGTAAATTTGAAGATTAAAAAGGGGCATAACTTTGTTAAAATGCAATACAGAGTTATGAAACTTGACCAGCATATCTTAATTGTGACACTTCATTTATATTTTAAGTTTCAAGCAAATACCTTTCCTAGATTCAGAAATATGCAGATATATGTTAAAATTAAAGAACATTTTCTAAGTCAATTTTTGACCTTCAAGTGTGACCTGACCTTAAGCCGGCAAAAGAGTGACATGGGTTCTGCACATAACCTTGTTAAGGTGAACATTTGAGCCAAGTTTGAAGAAAATCTTTCAATAAGTGTAGGACTTACAGAGCGGACACGACATACTGTGTAATATTTGATTGTTTGATATTTGACCTTCAATTGTGACCTTGACCTTGAGCTGACACATGGGCAACATGGGTTCTGCACATCCCATTGTTGAAATGAACATTTGAGCCAAGTTTGAAGAAATCTTTCAATTAGTGTAGGACTTACAGAGCGGACACGACATATTGTGTAATATTTGATTGTTTGATATTTGACCTTCAATTGTGACCTTGACCTTAAAATGACACATGGCAACATGAGTTCTGCACATCCCCTTGTTGAGGTGAACATTTTAGCCAAGTTTGAAGAAAATCTTTCAAATTATTGTAGGACCTACAGAGCGGACACGACATAACTGTCTAATATATGATTGTGTTTGATATTTGACCTTCAATTGTGACCTTGACCTTGAGCTGACACATGGGCAACATGGGTTCTGCACATCCCCTTGCTGAGGTGAACATTTGAGCCAAGTTTGAAGAAAATCCTTCAAGTGGTATAGGAGTTATAGAGCGGACACGAAAATGGAGACGGACGGACTGACCGACCGACCGACTGACCGACCGACCGACGCGACAAAGCGAATCCATTATAGCCCCCCCCACATTTTGTGGTGGGGGTATAATAATAACCATTGATTACCTTGCCATATCTAGAACAGAATCATTCCTGAGGTAAGATGATAGTGCTGGTACAAGACATGACTGAGTTAACATGTCCGGTACAATGTCAGGTAACAATGTCCGCTCTGTAGCAGGCTCATAATCATCATCTTCAAACTGATCAGGAACACTTCCACCTGGGTTGATGTAACTTGCCAAAACCTGTTGCAACATTCAATAAGCAAGTGTGTAGGCATGAATGATAATCAATAAGCATTATAATAATCCCATAGACAAAAACATACTTCATTTATCTTTTTGGGGGTTTCAGCACTTGAAAGCAGATATTTTCATTTACTATTAAGTCAGTAGTTATTTTCAGTCTGAAAATAATATTTCTCATTAATTGCCACTGTATTATTTTTAGTATGTAACTATTGACATACTCATAAACTGAAGTTTTATAATTGTATCTACCTGTAAAAGACATGTGACATGTTCCTCTTCACTTTTTTGTCGTATCAAGGCTTGTTCTGCATCCCAGCTTGATGTTGTAGACCCAGTGCCAAAACCAGTTCCCTTAGCCCAGTATTGTTGGGATTTCTCTTCTGAGGGGCCTGGTACCTGGCTTGGTGTTGATGTAGGTGTCTGCATAGCACTCAGCATGGAATAGGCCTAGTTATAGTAAAAAAATCATCTTCATAAAATTGTAGCTCAAATAATTGCTTTGATGTAAAAATAAATTTCTTATATTAGCATACTAGAATTTTCATTTTTCTTCGAATTTATTTTTACTTACAGTTCACTTACATTGTGACAGGTACTATGTATGTCCCTCATTCTATTTATTAACTGTAATTTTTAATTGTAACTTAACCTACCAGATAAAAAAAGTTAATGTTACAACATTATGAAGGTTCTATCATATTAATTACCTCTTGTTGAAATCCAGGGACAGTAACTCTTGGTGAATGATGACTAAGTACAGAGAGGCAAGCTAATATAAGATGAAGTGCTCCATTCTCCAGACACATTCTACGCAGTAGCACACCGTCATCTGTTGTCAGGGGTGTTGTATCAAACAAGGATTTCAAAACAATGAATGGTAATGTTGGCAATGAGCTGGCAATAGCAGATGTAAGAATCTGACCTGGAAAATTGATAAACTACCTTGTAAGAAATCAACAACAACAATAAGTTACATTTAACAAACAAGTATGACAAATAAATTTAAAATATACATCTATGATAGGACATCATTTAAGTAAATACATTTGTTTCCATTTGTGACATATTTCTAAATCATTCAACAAGCAAAAAAATCCTTTCCGTCTTCTTATTGTTATACATAATAACAGCACAACTGAATGATAATGTACCAGCTAATTTGTAAAGTTTTTATAAAAGATTTATCATAATGCTGCACAATTAATTTCTTTGTTTAAAATCAAAATCATTTCATACATTTGCAGGAGCAGAGTATATAATGAAAATATTATAATTGTCCAATGAAGACTTATGTTACAAACATGCAGTATTATGAAACTAAATATAACATAACAATAAATAAATATAGAAATTTACCTCCGCCGCCATCATCTGTCACTCCCAGCATCAGTCGTAGTAAACACTGGGCTTTCTTCCTCTCCTTCAGTAACACCTCGGCATATCCTGGTAATCTCAGAAACAGGCCAAACGCTACTAGAGAGTGTGGGGGAATAGTTGGATTTCCTATATGATGACCTCGACTACTCTGAGGAACAGGGGATACAGGCTCAAATAACTGTAAAAATATAAATCACTTATCGTCAGAAATAAAGTCTCTGGTGGGATTCAAACCCACAGGAATGAGGGGCAAGTGGTTTCAAGTCAACAACCTTAACCACTGGGTCAGAAACATATTATAGTCAAGATATACGAGGGATGATCAAAAATAAACCGGACTGTGACTGGCAATTGAAGAATTTTCATCCTATTTCTTATTGTTATATATCACACTTAATCGGAAAACAATACCTGTAAACTGATACTATATTTAATCTGATAACGCAAAAAGCTTGTCCGTAACAGCGAATTCAAAAACCATGGTAACGCACACCCGGCGCAGTGCGTAAATTCGCCTTGACATGAGGCGCTTTATGCTGCGTGTATTTTACAATATGGCACATTTAGATTTCAAAATACGCCAAAACGTCATGCACCATATCTTTGACGTTGTCAGAAAAAATGACTTCATTTCAACCATATTTATATTAACAATTACAATTCAAACGTCACATGTTAATGAAATACTCGCGTTAAAACTATGTCGTCGGAATGTCTCGAAAATTGATCAATAGGAAAAATTTGTCAAATATAAGACGAGAAACTGTTTAAAACGTAGAAAAAGAATATGGCTATCAAGGGAAAAGTTCCAGAAAGCCACAGCATATTTTTTGATTAGCTTAAAAGATTTAGAAAGGATAATAGAGAAATAGAAACAAGTAAGGGAGAGACAGAAAAAAGACATTTTCAAGGACGTTGGTGACGTCAATCGCCAAGACGTTGAAAAATGACAGTCGATTGACTGCGGACATTGTCAACGATGTTCGACAGTAACTCTGAGGATCTTAAAATGATATAAGTTAATGCATTAATTACATGTATTGTATTCTTGGTTTATAATTGTATCAATTATTTTCTTATTTTACGCAGTAGTCTTATGGAGAAATTGTGTCAACAATTTAACAGCCACTGTTCAAATTAGCTATGCGTTTTATTTATTTTAAAATAATGACAATTTTGATCATACTTGTAGTATTCTGTTATTTTTTCGTATGTATGATACATTATCATTCAGCAACATTATTTTACATTATTTGTAATACATAATATAGTTAATTGCATGTGCGATGTTTTTCAACAATCAAGTTACAGAAGGAAATAACAGAAGTTTGCGTCATTACAGGAGCTCTTTATCACCATTCATTCTCACAATACAATATGATACCCACTTGTACAGAAATATATATAGGCAGAAGATCCGCCGCATCAATAACATGACTGTACCACATATTGGCCTACTCCGCGAATGAGTAAAAATCTGCTCCGTTAAGGACAATACGCTTGTGACGTCGTTAACGTCAATTTTAAAGTTATACCGTGCGCCGCATTGCTTTACATGTGCATGCCAATAACAGCATAACTTTTTTCTTTGTTAATATTTCTTGTTGGTATTTTTTGTATCATTTAGGAGATAGATTCCGATTTATTTTCCGTGTATTGTTATGCAAATTCATTTAACAGGTTAAGAATTATTTACAAAGTCCGGTTTATTTTTGATCATCCCTCGTATAAAGAATTACTAAAATATCTTATTACCCTGCTGGAACCTAGTGATCAGCATTTTCCACCAGTATAGGGCCAGGCTAGCCTGCATATCTGTGCTGTCTGCCCAGGCTCTGTGCTTTAAATTTTTATATTGGTAGTTCAAACGATGGAAGCTTGATAAGTTCATTTAAGAAATTCAACACGTTTAAGGTTAATGATATTACAAAAGTTTTTAATTTAAAATATCGCAGTTTTATTTTATTTCAATACTAAGACATACCATATAAAAATCTTCTGGATAAGAATCAACAGTGACCCAATCTTGACTAGGATCATTATTGCCCACAGTTACATTTGGTGTGACTTCCCCAGACTCTGATGAGTTCATTTGACGTGATATCTCGGGATATAAGAGAGGCAGATGTTCCGCTAGTAATGCTAAACCATTACTACTTGCAAACACTTGTAGTGGTGTTGGGAATGGTGGTGACGCCATCAACACATCGTCTGGTATCTCATCAGGATCATCAGTCAGATCTGAAAACAATGGCATCTGAACATAATGTTTTGTCGAATTAACAGCATTTATACCAACTTCATGTAAGTAAATTTTCAGCATTATTACTTCATTTGTTTTACTTGAGCTTTTGATTTCAAACATGGTTGTGGTCTACACAGGAGTAAAGGTTTTAACTCCTCCATTATCATACTGAATAACATACATATTCCATTTTTCAGTGCCAAAATCTTTAAAGTTTAACTAGTAACAGTCCTGCTTCACCAAGAACAAGTTACTGCTGTTCGCTCTAACAGAACCTTTTGGTTGGAATATGTACTCAAAGTTTTACCTGTTTTGGTAGGAACTGGTCCATTCTGCAACTGGAGTATAAAATCAAGGACATCTTGACCTTGAGTGAGACCTTGCCCTTGTAATACTTGCATCAACTGTGACAGAGTGACATCTGATGGAAGTGATTTATCTAAAATTGAGAGACACCAATGTGATTTTGAAATTTACTTTTGAAGTTTAAATAAAATTAAATAAAGTAAATGAAATCTGAAATTTTATTTTAAATTTTATTATCTACTAACATAAAATTATTTGACTCAAGGCAATGTGCACCATTCTTCACTTTAATAACAGCTTCACTGATTAAACTTTCCAAGTTCTGTTTTACAATTAATGTGAAATAAAATATAATTCTAAAACAAATGATAACTATAATTTTAAAAAGTAATATTTCTAATCACAAAAATTAACAACAAAAACTTACTTGTAACCAGTTTATGGTTAAGTGAAAGCACTGGAATGGAAAGATGCTTAGACAGAGAATCATTGTTGCGACCTCTTCTTGTTGGGGGACGAGGGGGCAATGAAGCCTTTGAACTACTAGGTGTAGTATTTGCTGTTGTAACTTTTGACCAGAGGTGGCTCTTTGGAAGCTGACTTGAACTTGTTTTATCAGCCATACTTGTATCTGTAATAAACAAAATAATATACATGTAGATTGATACACTACAGGTGTGAACGTGGATATATGGAATGGCCGAGTTTTAAAATAAATACCACACTTCAAATGTGTAACAAATCTCAATCTATACAAAATAATATCATTTAACTTGCACTAAAAAGAATTAAAATAATAAGTCAATGATACCTGATTTGCCAACAGAGATATTTTCTATGACATCTACAAGCTCCAGCCCTATCTGACATGTGCTTTCTTTAGACTCATCTGATTTCTTACCATTCTGTACATCTAATAACTGTGCTGCTAAACTTGGTGTATCTGAATGCATAAAATAACATTTGCATCTATTATATCTGAAACGGTATAATAACTGTAATGCAGAACTTTGTGCCAATTACGTAATATCTTATAGCAGAGACGTTATCTAAAATATTTCAAGAAGATATTAACAAGAAAATCAACAAGAGGGCCATCATGGCCCTGAGGTCGCTCACCTGTATAAAGGCCCCCCCCCCCAACGTTGCAGGGCCAATTTAACCCAAGGGCTTTTATTTGCACAAACTTGGTAGACACCCATAAGAAGATGTTACATGCTAAACATCTAAGCTCTAGCTCATTGGGCTTTTTAAAAGAAGATTTTTTTAAAGTTTTTACTATACACATATAGTTAAAAACAATGACACCCCTGGGGCCGGGCCAGGGCTTTTATTTGAACAAACTTTGTAGACACTTACTAGAAGATGTTTCATGCTTAATATCTAAACTCTAGCTATTTGGGTTTTTTTCAAGGAAGATTTTAAGTTTTTGCTATACACATATAAAGAAAATCAATGACCCCCGGGGCGGGGCCAATTTTGACCCCAGGTCTTTTATTTGAACAAACTTTGTAGACACTCACTAAAAGATGTTTCATGCTTAATATCTTAACTCTAGCTATTTGGGTTTTTTCAAAGAAGATTTTTTAAGTTTTTGCTATACACATATAAGAAAATCAATGACCCCCGGGCGGTGCCAATTTGACCCCAGGGCTTTTATTTGAACAAACTTGGTAGACACCTATTAGAACATGTTTGATGCTAAATATCTTAGCCATAGCTCTTTGAGTTCTTTAAAAGAAGATTTTTAAAGTTTTTACTATATGCATATAGGGAAAATCAATGACCCCCCGGGCAGGGCCAATTTTGACCCCAGGGCTTTTATTTGAACAAACTTGGTAGACACCCATTAGAACATGTTTCATGCTAAATATCTTAGCTCTAGCTCTTTGGGTTCTTTAAAAAGAAGATTTTTTAAGTTTTTACTATATGCCTATAGGGAAAATCAATGACCCCCCGGGGCGGGGCCAATTTTGACCCCAGGGCTTTTATTCGAACAAACTTGGTAGACACTCACTAGAAGATGTTTCATGCCAAATATCTAAGCTCTAGCTCTTTGGGTTTTTTAAAAGAAGATATTTAAAGTTTTTTCTTTTGGTTGCCATGGCAACCAGAGTTCTGCATGGAATTAAATTCTTTGAACAATTTTTAAAGGTGACCACCAAAGGAACATTCCTGTGAAGTTTGGATGAAATTGGCTTAGTGGTTTATGAGGAGATGTCATTTAAAGTAAAAGTTTACGGACGGACGACAGACGCCGGACGGACGGACGCTGGCCGGACACCGGACGAAAAGCGATCACAAATTAATATCAAACTTACCATACATTTGTAACAAGAACAATCATGAATTATTACAGAGTAAATATTTACCTGATACTTTGTTAATGAGTTCACCAACGGTAATATGCATATTGACTTGCATTGTCCTGAACCTGCGTCCTGCTCCAAACTGTGGGTGCTGCAGACAGCCCTGAGGTGTAGGTACGTGTATGTGGTATTGTTTCGGTGCAGCCCGGAATGCCACAAGAATATTCTCATCTTCAAGAAGAACTTGGAGGAAAAGTCGTCTAGTGAATCCAGACAGTGGACAAATACCTAAACCTGCTATATAAACAAGGATAACCAATTGAATCTCCTCAAAGTTAAATGAATATTTTTATTTCCATATAATGAAGAATAGAAAATATTTTACTTCATTACAAATTATTCTTACCAATATAAATATTCCTCAGACAAAATTCCTCTTAATTTTATCGCACTGAGTGTAAATATCATTAGAGATAGAACAATTTTCATAAGAAATATTTAAAAAATGGTACATCATTGTAAAGTATTCATTGATTTCATATATAAAAAATTTCTTCAATATGTTTAAAGAGCATAATTAATTCCATCATACCAGCTTTATTAGTAGATCCTTGTTCTTTGATGACATCATATAGAACTTTAGCAAATAACATCTGGTTAGGTACATGACATGATATCACACTCCGGAAAAATTTAACAGACGCTGTTTCTATACACGCTCTCTCTTCTGCTGAGATCAACTGATAAATAAATATACATGCCATATCAACAAAAAGTGAAATATAATTACTGAAAGGCTAGTTAACACTGCCTATTACTATATAAAATCTTGTTACTGTATAAGTGATTAATATTGCGACATGGAACTGTACTGAGATTAAGTTTTCTCTAAGTTTGGTCTTAACAAATCACAAATGTTTTAATGAAATAATATGTGTGTTAATAACACAAAAGGTTATTCATATAACAAGAGAATGTTTCAAAATATGACAAAGAAATAAGTGATCAGGTAACAATGTATATTTCAAACAATTATATAAACAATAAAGGTTTTAAATTACTGAATAAATGATTACAATAACAACCTATTCTTAACATGTACCTGCTTAATTAAAGATATCACAAAAAACAGTATTAAATTCAATAAATCATATTTTCGCAAAAATTTCCGCACGCAAAATGTCCATTTTTTGACATTACGCAAAAAAATATCCACTTACACAGTATTTAAGAGGTTAAGTATAAAACTTATTATTACACATGACAATATTGTACCTACATTTAGTGAATGAAGACAAATATAAATGCTTCTTTGTTACTATGGTACAGCTTTGAGTTGTAATTTTTGTTATAGCAAAATAATTTACGGCATGCACTTTCTTTCAAATTTTCTAACATAAAGCGACTTTTGATATATCAAATCTACACTAAAATAGACCCAGTGAGCTTGTGTTCAAAACCGTTCAAGTAGAAATAACATTATACTACAACATTATTTTGGTTGTATGAAAAACAAAGGTAAACTTACCTCAAATTTTTGTGGGAACGTGGTGACAGATATGGGACTGTGTAAAGGTGTATTGCACAACATTGTTAGAAGTACCGGCCAGAATATGTTACCATCAGCACCACCCAGCCAGTCCTTCATAGCTGGTAGAGATGAGATCTCAGAGAAAAAATTTAATACTGCAGATACCATGTCAGCTGTCACCATCAAACCTTAAAACATATAACATAACCCCATTTATCAAAACTACAGAATGAGAGCCTCTTTACTGACCTAAAATGATAATGTCACATCAATATTTCAAAACTTAAATTTAAGCTCCTTTAACTATTAGCATTACAATAATATAAGACAATACAATGAATTTATAAGTTAGGGAAAAGATAATTAGATCAAACTTCGGATACCAATATAAGCGCATAAAAGACTGTTTGCAAATGCATTATTAGACTAATGATCTTATAAGTGAAATAATGTTAAAATCTGCTGAGTAAACTAATAAACCAGAGAATTTAAATATTTCATAATTAAGATTAAGTAAGTCTTTATAATTCCTAATGAATTGTTCTTAAGATTGCTCCTTTATACTACATGTTGACATTTTTAATAAAATCTTATATATGACATCAACTTTTACCAAAAGGGTGTAAAATGGTTCCCTTAGCTTACCTGTATGGTTATTAGTTGTACTTGTGCTATCCCCAGTTGTTCCAGTCATACTCTTACAAGAATCTGATATTCCCTCAGGCTGTGACCATGAATCAGCGAATGTTGATATCACACGATTACAGAACTCAAACAATCCCTGAGCCAACACTGCTGGGAACCCTGACTCTAACAACTGCTTCGTTGCCAGGGACGACTGACAAGCTAATGCTAGAGTAAACAAATGACTTTCATCTAGACACATATGTTTAAACTCCTGTAGAATGATGGGAGTTGAGGGTTCTGA